TATGAATGTGAGGTTTTAACAAATTGTGCAGGTGAAGACTTGTATTTTGACCAAATATAATCCGTGCATCCATGAATCTGTTATTTTAATTTAATATAACATCAGCTCAGGGACGACAGGTGGAAATGAGCTCTTGGGCCAGAACCTGGTACAATGGATCTTTTCCTTTGAGGTTAATGTTTATTGCACACTGTCATCTTAAATAAATAAATAAACTAAACTAAACTAAACCAGAGCCACAAAGTGTCTCTCAGTCCACACAGAGAAGGGAGCGAGGTCGCCAGAACAGGAGCCTCATGCCAGACCTAGTTCTTAGTGATAGGAAAAACTAGAGCACCAGAAAGACCCTGTTCGGACCGGGATTCGAACCCAGGACCTTCTTGCTGAGAATGCTATCCACTCAGCCAGAATACATCCTTGACAGAGTGATGTCAGAGCAGGGCAGAGTGTGGAGCTGACCGGATGTAAGGCTCCGTGCTGCTGTCCCCGGTCAGCTGGTCCTTGGTGAGGTACGTGTTGTGCGAGGAGCAGATGAAGTAGTGGGACAGGGGGCGGCTCATGTCCTGGTAGACCCTCCCGTGAGCCGGGTCGAACACACAGTTCTCTTTGGACAACATGTAGATGGTGAAGCCGTTGGGCGTCATGAAGTGGTTCTTCTGAGCTGCAAAGAAAACACATGTCACGCTCTGCCCTCTGGTGGACAAACTCATATGACACTACATTTATGTGAGATAGTCCTTCATTAGAATTGCTTTGGTTAAATGTGCCTTGTCTGTAAGAGCCTTGAATGTCACTTTGTTGTAGAATAAATCAACATAAATTGGCATCACTTACATAATAAAGCACTTTTAATATAGCAGTAGTTTTATGTCAATATACTACAGGTACTACAGGTATTTTTGTTGTTGTTGCTGTTTTTCCTTTTCTATGAGCCCCTGATTTTACACTTTTTTTCATCTCTGAATCCAGAAGATATCCCAATGTTTGTGGTTGAAAATACATAGACTTAGTGAAAATCTCTGAATCATCAATTAATGTAGGAATTCAATTTTTTATGTATTTTTTATGTACTGGAAAGGATGCTCAGATATGATTCTTGTGCCAGAGGTTGGAGGAGAAACTATGAAGTGAATGCAATACTTTAAAATGTGCTGGAAATGGCAGCAAGTGTCTCTGAATTTTGTTTTGTTTTGTGTTATTGTTCTTTTTTTCTGCCTGAAATGTTGCTGCAGTACAGTGTTCATGGCTTTACATTGGTCCAGACCAGAGCAGAGAGGATTCATGGTCCGAACCAAGTGGATTGGGCAAAAATCCACTGGAGGAATGCTAACTTTTTGAAAAATGCTAATGAAGCATTCTGCATTTTACTTTGGACTAGAGCAGAGAAAATTGTCCGGACCAAGCGGCTGCTCCACCTCTGCTGCTGTGACCTGAATAACTTTGGATTTCAATACTAGTGTTAGATTTTTAGAATGTTTTGTTTGTTTAGATGGATGTGTTTTTGCAGCTACTGGACACTTGAATTTCTCCTACAGGGAAGTATACATTGTTGTGTACACTTGTCGGTGCCCTACCCCAGGGGTTGAGTTCGTAGGTGAGGATGAGGCTCTCAGCGTGGGTGACCGAGGCGTCCTCCCCTTGCTCCTGGAGGAAGTCTCTGAGGTCCACGGTGGAGAGAACACAGTCGTTTGCAGAATACTGGATGAAGAGAGCGTCCAGCTCCGGCCTCCGCAGCAGCTCTCTGCAGAAGATCTCGATCTCCCCGTGATCCAGACGCCCGTCAGCCGAGCGGTCGCACTGCTGTGGAGGAGAGAGGGATCCTTCAGGAAGGTGTGTGTGTTTGTGAGAGAAGGAGAGAAAGAGAGAGAGGTGTGTGTGTGTGAGAGAGAGAGAAAGAGAGAGAGGTGTGTGTGTGTGTGTGTGTGTGTGTGTGAGAGAGAGAGAGAGAGAGAGAGAGAAGAGAGAGAGAGGTGTGTGTGTGTGTGTGTGTGTGTGTGTGTGTGTGTGTGAGAGAGAGGGATAAAGAGAGAGAGGTGTGTGTGTGTGTGTGAGAGAGAGAGAAAGAGAGAGGTGTGTGTGTGTGTGTGTGTGTGTGTGTGTGTGTGAGAGAGAGAGAGAGAGAAAGAGAGAGAGAGGTGTGTGTGTGTGTGTGTGTGTGTGTGAGAGAGAGAGAGGTGTGTGTGTGTGTGAGAGAGAGAGAGGTGTGTGTATGTGAGAGAGAGAGAGAGAGGTGTGTGTGTGTGTATGTGAGAGAGAGAGAGGTGTGTGTGTGTATGTATGTGTATGTGAGAGAGAGAGAGGTGTGTGTGTGTGTATGTATGTGTATGTGAGAGAGAGAGAGGTGTGTGTGTGAGAGAGAGAGAGGTGTGTGTGTGTATGTATGTGTATGTGAGAGAGAGAGAGGTGTGTGTGTGTGTATGTATGTGTATGTGAGAGAGAGAGAGGTGTGTGTGTGTGAGAGAGAGAGAGAGAGAGAGAGGTGTGTGTGTGTATGTATGTGTATGTGAGAGAGAGAGAGGTGTGTGTGTGTGTGTGTGTGTTACCTGGAAGAGGCTGCGTGCGTACTGCTCGTTGAGGTCAATGTTGATCATCTGCAGAAGGTTTTGCACTTCGTCATAGCTCATCTTGTCGTCGTGGTTCTGGTCGGCGCGGTTCAGGTACGCATGGATCCAGGTGAAAGAACCAGTTAAGAATCTGCTACGTTTCCTTAGTAAGTTAGTACGTAATCTTTAATTATATAGCGCCTTTCACAGACAAAACAAGGAAAAAACCAGGATTTCTATCTTTGTGAAAAAGGTGTTGGTTATAGATTTGTTGTTGACAAAACTCTTGTCTATTCAGCTGTTATGGTCCCAGCTGGATTCGTCTGCATATCTGGCAACCTGAGTCAGGGAGAGTGGGAGAGGCTGCAGTACCACTTTTGGCCACATCAATACATTTTTCGCACCGATCTCCAGTTGCTCTGTAATTTGGCATTGTGTTACAGTGGGTCACACATGTACATTATTTAAGATTTAAGAACTTTTGTCACTGTTGGTGTGTGTATGGAAATAGATCTTCCGTGATGTGAGACGCTACCATCCGTGAGTAGAGGATATTGGTCGAGTTTCTCCTTCTGGGTCATGTTCTGGACCCGCTCCTGCAGGGTGCGGATGCCTCGAGCCCAGCGCTGAGCCTCCTCTGGACTGTCGCAGCGCAGGTCCAGACTTTTACGAGGCCCTTTGAAAACCACCGTGAGACAGTGACTCCCAGGGACGGAGCCAGCCACGCGGCGCAGGACCTCAGACTGACAGCCCTCACGCACACACTCCACCTCCAGCACCGAGACTGGACACAGAGACAGAAAAAAAGCGTTTAAGTAATTATTTATTTTGTTTTCTTTTGGTGTCAATACTCGTAGCACCAGCCCCTCACTGATCCTCCTGTTGGTCTTTCATCTTAAGAATCAGAATCAGAATCATTTTTTTTTTTTTTTTTTTTTTTTATTGCCACGTAAGTAACAGGAGGTCACAGACTAGGAAATTGCTTTGGCTCAGTGCAACAGTCAAAAAGAGATAATAAAAATAAGAATAAAAAACACTTCTAAAGAATAAATTTAAATTTAAAATAGAGTTACAGTTACTATTTACAATATACAAGTGCACATGGTGCACACAATGTAAGGTGACAGCAGTACAGTGAAGTAAAGTGACGTATGATGGGCAGTAAAGTGACTTTATAAAGGGCGGGGGGACAGGTTAAGAAGTGTTCAAGAGTCCAACAGCAGAGGGGAAGAAACTGTTCTTGTGGCGGGAGGTTCTAGTCCTGATGGACCGCAGCCTCCTGCCTGAGGGGAGTGGTTGGAATAGTCCATGTGCAGGGTGAGAGGGGAGTGGTTGGAATAGTCCATGTGCAGGTGAGAGGGGAGTGGTTGGAATAGTCCATGTGCAGGTGAGAGGGGAGTGGTTGGAATAGTCCATGTGCAGGTGAGAGGGGAGTGGTTGGAATAGTCCATGTGCAGGTGAGAGGGGTCGGCTGTGATACGACCAGCCCGGCCTCGAGCTCGGGCGACGTACAGGTCCTGCAGCGATGGAAGGCTGCGGCCGATCACTTCCTCTGCAGAGCGCACAATGCGCTGTAGTCTCTGTTTGTCCCTGACTGTGGCTCCAGCGAACCACACGGTGATGGAGGAGGTGAGGATGGACTCGATGATGGCCGTGTAGAACTGCACCAACATCTGTGCAGGCAGCTTGGCTTTCCTGAGCTGCCGCAGGAAGTACATCCTCTGCTGGGCCAGGAGTCAGGTAGATTGGGGTTAAGTGTCTTGCCCAGGGGCACAACAACAGTAGACATCATTGAGAGGAGGTGGCATGTCTTGTGACTGCAGCTCGGATCTTGAGTAGAACCAGGAAGTACGATCACATTAGTCCAGTTCTCAGGTCTCTGCACTGCCGTCCTGTAGCTCAGGGTCTTTCCATGACCTCAGACCAAAGTACAGTACATGTACTGGGACTCTGAGGAGCACAGGGACTGGCCTCCTGCTGGGACTCTGAGGAGCAAAGGGACTGGCCTCTTGCTGGGACTCTGAGGAGCACAGGGACTGGCCTCCTGCTGGGACTCTGAGGAGCACAGGGACCGGCCTCCTGCTGGGACTCTGAGGAGCACAGGGACTGGCCTCCTGCTGGGACTCTGAGGAGCACAGGGACTGGCCTCCTGCTGGGACTCTGAGTAGCACAGGGACCGGCCTCCTGCTAGTGCCCCGAGTCAAGACTAAACATGGGGAGGCAGCATTTCTGATTTATGCAGCTAGAATCTGGAACAGTCTTCGTAATAAAAGTAAGATGGGCTTCTACTTTGACAATGTTGAAATCCAGGTTAAAGCAGTTCTGTGCTACAACTGAAGGTTTGTATCTTCACTCTTTTTAATGCACTGGGATTATTTATTAATTCATGTATTATAATCTAACAGTGCTATTCAAATAAACTTGTCTTGTCTTTTGGGGGAAGTGTGAATTGAACCCACAACCATTTGATCCAAAGACCAATGCTCTCCCAACTGTTGCCCCTTACCATAATATAATTTCTAAATACTGTTAAACCTTCCACACCTTAGACGGTAATACATTTTTTAATGTTGTTTTATGTCTGTATTTGTCTGTGCACAGTGGAGACTTTTTGCTAATGTATTCCAATGTGTTTTTTTTTTTTACTGCAAATGGCAAATAAACGGAATCTGAATCAAATACGATCATAAAAAAATGAGGCCTAAAAAACCCTGCTCCAGTTTTCATTTCCACAACAGCTTCAAACATGTAGTACTTATCATGTGGTGTTTTAACTGCAGATATGAAGAGAACATGCAGTTTGTCCACCGTGCTCCACATCACGGTGACATCTGCCCGTTACAGCCGCCGCCACCGCAGGCCGCTCCCTGCAGCGCCTCTATAATCTACCCATTCAAACCAGTCCAGTCCAGGCTTCGCTCAGGTCTCAGCGCTGGAAATAGAACCAGTGCCTCTGTAATCAGCTGTGACCCCAAGACGGCTGCCTGTGCGCTGGATAAGTGGGAGCCGCTCGGTGCACTTTCTAAAAACAGGAATGTTCCCAAATTCAAAGAGGATTTATTATTGCTGGGACCTCGCGGTGTGTGGGCCGGTCCTGCTGCGTACTCACAGGACTGCTGCTCTTTGGCTCGGCTGGAGGTTTTGTGAGACTGGCACCAGACCGTCACTCCGTCCTCCAGCAGACGAAGACTCCGGTGCTTCTGCCAGCGAGGCGACCGCACCTGGCATTAAAACAATATCTCAATTCAATTTCAATTCGATTTGTTCTTGTACAGCCCTAAATCATGACAGTAGTTCTCTCAGAGGATCATCACCACTGTCCTTAGACCTCACACGACTCTAACAGACCCTCCTGCATCTATGTTTCTACAAATACTTCAGCTTAAAGGTCCTCTGTGTAATTTTTACCGTAAATTCCGAACTATAAGCCACAACTTTTAATCCTGCATTTTGAAGGATGCAGCTCATAGCTGCAGATAATTTTATTTATGTTTTTCTTTTTTTGTGGCAGTAGACCAATGTTATTGATGAGTAGTACACAGAGGTCCAATTACATTTTAAGATTAAATACAGTTAAAAAGTCCTCACTTGTAATATCTTTGTGTAAATATCTCAAATAAAAAGTGTTTTGGTTCTTTGTAGACATGAAAGTGAACAAAGAGATGTCAGTGACTCACTTCTTACTCTTTCTCTTAAAACTCAAAAGACATGAACGTTTTTGAGAGACATTTTTTAATATTACAATGTGGGACAAGTGCGGTTTATAATCCAGTGCGGCTTGTACAACAACAGAATTTAAATTCTTTCTCAAAATTAGCGCCTGCGGAAAATACGGTAGTAAACCATGTTAACCAAAAACAAAGACCTTTTTAAGAATATTTACCTTTTTTATTTTTTATTGTTGTCATAGGCTTTGAATTTGGCTTATAAATGTCCATGAGGCTGAGGACTCTCTGTGTCAATGCACCATCTTAAAATACAGTGGGTGATAAGGGACAAAAAGGAGTTAGGGACCACTGTCAAAGACCACATATTATTGCCCTGTGAAGCTACCGTAGAACCGTAGATTTCAATATGATCTCAGGCCAAGTGGGAGAAAAACTACAGTGTAACTTTAACGTTCACTCCTTGAAGAAAGCAATGTCATTTTTCTCTTGTTTTGATTTTCTCTAAGTTGTAGGAGCACTAAAAACCCAAATAATTCGTTTTTTATATTTTTATTGATCCCTAGATGTTTAATTAAAGACCTTTTACCAATTGGTTGAGATGCAGTTTGATGGTAAAAGCGCCTAAAACAAAGTGATAGATGCAACAATGAGGTAGATTTCACCAAAAGGTTGAGGAAAACATTGAAAAATTGTGTGTAAATGCGTTATTGGGTCAAGAAACTGATGTAAAAGCACACAAGGATTTGACTTAGAGCGTTCTCAGAGTGGAAAGCAACGTGTATGTGCAAAATGTCTGCAGTATGATGACGGCTTAGAGTATTCTGGAATTAGCAGTGGCTTCATAAAATGCAGCCGAATGTGTGAATCTGCAACAGTCATAAAATGTCTAGAGGTACAGTTCATAATGTTGTAATTACAGTTCATAATGTTGTAAGTACAGCTCATAATGTTGTAATTACAGTTCATAATGTTGTAAGTACAGCTCATAATGTTGTAATTACAGCTCATAATGTTGTAAGTACAGTTCATAATGTTGTAAGTACAGTTCATAATGTTGTAAGTACAGTTCATAATGTTGTAAGTACAGTTCATAATGTTGTAAGTACAGTTCATAATGTTGTAAGTACAGTTCATAATGTTGTAATTACAGCTCATAATGTTGTAATTACAGTTCATAATGTTGTAAGTACAGTTCATAATGTTGTAAGTACAGCTCATAATGTTGTAATTACAGTTCATAATGTTGTAAGTACAGTTCATAATGTTGTAATTACAGCTCATAATGTTGTAAGTACAGTTCATAATGTTGTAAGTACAGTTCATAATGTTGTAAGTACAGTTCATAATGTTGTAAGTACAGTTCATAATGTTGTAAGTACAGTTCATAATGTTGTAAGTACAGTTCATAATGTTGTAAGTACAGTTCATAATGTTGTAAGTACAGTTCATAATGTTGTAAGTACAGTTCATAATGTTGTAAGTACAGTTCATAATGTTGTAATTACAGCTCATAATGTTGTAATTACAGTTCATAATGTTGTAAGTACAGTTCATAATGTTGTAAGTACAGTTCATAATGTTGTAAGTACAGCTCATAATGTTGTAAGTACAGTTCATAATGTTGTAAGTACAGTTCATAATGTTGTAAGTACAGTTCATAATGTTGTAAGTACAGCTCATAATGTTGTAAGTACAGCTCATAATGTTGTAAGTACAGTTCATAATGTTGTAAGTACAGTTCATAATGTTGTAAGTACAGTTCATAATGTTGTAAGTACAGTTCATAATGTTGTAAGTACAGTTCATAATGTTGTAAGTACAGTTCATAATGTTGTAAGTACAGCTCATAATGTTGTAAGTACAGTTCATAATGTTGTAAGTACAGTTCATAATGTTGTAAGTACAGTTCATAATGTTGTAAGTACAGTTCATAATGTTGTAAGTACAGTTCATAATGTTGTAAGTACAGTTCATAATGTTGTAAGTACAGTTCATAATGTTGTAAGTACAGTTCATAATGTTGTAAGTACAGTTCATAATGTTGTAAGTACAGTTCATAATGTTGTAAGTACAGTTCATAATGTTGTAAGTACAGTTCATAATGTTGTAAGTACAGTTCATAATGTTGTAAGTACAGTTCATAATGTTGTAAGTACAGTTCATAATGTTGTAAGTACAGTTCATAATGTTGTAAGTACAGTTCATAATGTTGTAAGTACAGTTCATAATGTTGTAAGTACAGTTCATAATGTTGTAAGTACCTTGACCAGATTTGATCCATGGAGCATTTGTTTCACATCTTCATCGTCCTGGACTCCTGCACACACACACACACACGAATATATACACACACACACACATGAACATATACACACACACATGAATATATACACACACACACACATGAACATATACACACACATGAACATATACACACACACATAGGCATACGCACACACATGAACATATACACACACCCACACATGAACATATACACACACACACACATGAATGAATATATACACACACACACACATAGGCATACACACATGAACATGCACACACACATATTCACACGCAAACATGAACACACACACACATGAATATATACACACACACACATGAACATATACACACACACATGAATATATACACACACACACATGAACATATACACACACACATGAATATATACACACACACACACATGAACATATACACACACACATGAATATATACACACACATGAACATATACACACACACATAGGCACACGCACACTTGAACATGCACACACACACATAGGCACACACAGACATGAATATAAGACACACACACACACACACATGAACATACACACACACACACACGAACACACATGAACACACACATAGGCACACACACACACACATAGGCACACACACACATGAATATAAGACACACACACACACATGAACACACACACACACACACATGAACATACACACACACACACGCACACACACATGACGATACACACACACACACACACACACACACACAGTCAGGGAGGGTCTCAGCTCAGAGTGGGGTGGGGTTCCGACTCTGATGAAAAGGTCTGGACTAAAACAGAGGGACCACAACGAAACGTCTCATTAGGTCCAACTAAACGCTTTCAGACGGAGCGCACTGCAATTTCAGTTTGCTATTTATAATAAGTACTAGCATCAAATTATGATTCAAATGACAATACTCCATAGTCCAATTATGAACAAATATACGGTAGGTCATTTAAAAGAATTATAAATGTTGTATAAAGTCTGTGTTATTGACTTGAGTTCCACTTTTCACCATCTGGTAACAACTGGCAGGTAGACTTTATTTACTAAATGTTTCCTTGAATTTCAGAAACTTTTCTTCCTAAACTTCTTTTCTAAACTGAAATGAGCACAATGATGAGATTAAAGCTGGGGTCCCTAAACATTTTCTCTATAAGAAAACACTGAAATCTAAAAATGTAAAATGTTTTGAAGAAACCAGACCACAACATGCTGACAGTGTATAACAGTCATATATTTGCACTAAAGAGCCCTGCGAGTCAGTATTTGATGCTTTGGGCAGAGAGGTGATTGGCTGATTGAGGCTGTACCGCTATTTTTCCACTTTTCTGTCTGAAAAAAGCTGATCCAAAGACTTGATAGAGGCCAAAAAACACATGCATGTCACGGTATGATAGATATATGTGTATTATTACATAGTTACATATTGTTTTGTGGTTGGAAAGTCAGGTACCCCAGCTTTAATGAACCAGAGTAATTCAATCTACCAATCAAGACGCACTCACTTAAGTAAATCCATTCCCAATCACGCAAATGTGACCGTAGCTCCATCACTGCGCGACACAAAGTGGAGCGAGTCAAGGCGAGGGGGCGGGGGAGATAACGGGACTGGGACTATGAAAACTGGGACTCCTGGCTCTAAACACTCACCCAGGTTCCGCAGAGGATCGATGGCCTTCTGGGACGTCCTGGTTCCATCTTTAGGAGCTGATCCCGCTTTCTTTTTATTGCCCAGCATTATTCCCGTGCGTGTGCGTGTGCGGGCAGCTGAGGGGCATGAAGGCGCACTGAGGTCTGGACTGTGGACCGGGTCTAGTTCTAGTTCAGGAGGTCCCCGCGGAGCCCCGTCTCCAGTGTGGGGGCCATATGGGACCAGGGTTTTATTCTTGACGCCAAACCTCCAGCTGATGTCAGAGATTTACGCGCAGCCACAATCACATTAACCAAGACGGACCATCATTTATCCGCTAGATCCGGTCTAGCCTTTCACAATAAAAGTAAAATAATATACACGTAAACTACATATGGGAAGGTGCTTGCAAACTGACTGTAATTCTAAAGATCCTCTCTATACAGTACGAGTCATAACACGACAATACTGGATCATATTTTTTATGAGTTATGTGGCGGCTATGTCTTGATAACAAGTTCCTTGCGTTAGTATTTTATTCTGAAACATTTCCTGTTTTCCTTCATAACCAACGCAAAACGGATTTATCCAAGGCCAGTCTTCCCCATAGTCTGCCCCATAGTCTGCCCCATGGTCTGCCCCCATGGTCTGCCCGGGTCCAGTTCATTTTCATACATTTGAGCAAGTTTTCCAGAGACAGTTGCACAGACATAACCCATGATCTGCAGTGTTCATTATAATATTTGTGTTTGTCTTATTTATTTATTTATATATTTATGTTTATGTTTATGTCTGTGTTTCGCATTATCAGAATAAAGAGCTTCATTCATAGATCTCTGGCGTCAGTCACGTGGTGATCCTATGACGTATTAGACCCGGAAGTGTCACCATCGCTGGCGTAAACACAAGAAGCAGCTGAAGTTCAAACTATTTTATCAAAGTGTGTCTTTGAGGACGTCGAACGAACTCTGAACTTACTCTGAGCTCTTTGAACAGGGATGAGGTCAAACACAACCAGGAGTCAGTGAGGTGAGACTAACCGCGATATATTTCTATAACCGGAGCATGACATCAGAACAAGCTGGATTTATTTTCATTTTGATGTGTTATATTGTGATGTTGAGCTGAGGAATGAGGAACAACTCTCTTTTAGCGCCTTGTTCTTGTGTGATTTGTGAATCTTTCTTCCTTATTATTTTGTCCAGTTTCACCTCATGTACAGTAAGGACTAAGCTATAAATTATGATTTCCACATCTGTATCCATTACTAGTTGTCTGCACATGTTTGACTGTCGCACACTGTTACACACTGTCACACACTGTCACACACTGTCACACACATGTTACACACTGTCACACACTGTCACACACATGTTACACACTGTCACACACTGTCACACACTGTCACACACTGTCACACACTGTCACACACATGTTACACACTGTCACACACTGTCACACACTGTCACACACTGTCACACACATGTCACACACTGTCACACACTGTCACACACTGTCACACACTGTCACACACATGTTACACACTGTCACACACTGTCACACACTGTCACACACTGTCACACACTGTTACACACTGTCACACACTGTCACACACATGTTACACACTGTCACACACTGTCACACACATGTTACACACTGTCACACACTGTCACACACTGTCACACACTGTCACACACTGTTACACACTACACACTGTCACACACATGTTACACACTGTCACACACTGTCACACACTGTCACACACTGTCACACACTGTCACACACATGTTACACACTGTCACACACATGTTACACACTGTTACACACTGTCACACACTGTCACACACTGTCACACACTGTCACACACATGTTACACACTGTCACACACATGTTACACACTGTTACACACTGTCACACACATGTTACACACTGTCACACACATGTTACACACTGTTACACACTGTCACACACTGTCACACACTGTCACACACTGTCACACACTGTTACACACTGTCACACACTGTCACACACATGTTACACACTGTCACACACATGTTACACACTGTACACACACTGTCACACACTGTCACACACTTTACTGTCACACACTGTCACACACTGTCACACACTGTCACACACTGTCACACACTGTCACACACTGTCACACACGTCACACACTGTACACACTGTCACACACTGTCACACACTGTCACACACTGTCCACACTGTCACACACTGTCACACACTGTCACACACACACTGTCACACACTGTCACTGTCACACACTGTCACACACTGTACACACTGTCACACACTGTCACACACTGTCACACACTGTCACACACTGTCACACACTGTCACACACTGTCACACACTGTCACACACTGTCACACACTGTCACACACTGTCACACACATGTCACACACTGTCACACACTGTCACACACTGTCACACACTGTCACACACTGTCACACACTGTCACACACTGTCACACACTGTCACACACTGTCACACACTGTCACACACTGTCACACACACACTGTCACACACTGTCACACTGTCACACACTGTCACACACACACACACACTGTCACACACTGTCACACACTGTCACACACTGTCACACACACTGTCACACACTGTCACACACTGTCACACACATGTCACACTGTCACACACTGTCACACAAGCCACACTGTCACACACTGTCACACACTGTCACACACTGTCACACACTGTCACACACTGTCACACTGTCACACACTGTCACACACATGTTACACACTGACCTGTCACACACTGTCACACACACACACACTGTCACACACTGTCACACATCAACACTGTCCACTCACACACTGTCACACACTGTCACACACTGTCACACACTGTCACACACATGTTACACACTGTCACACACTGTCACACACTGTTACACACTGTCACACACTGTCACACACACACTGTCACACACTGTCACACACTGTCACACACTGTCACACACACTGTTACACACACTGTCACACACTGTCACACACATGTTACACACTGTCACACACATGTTACACACTGTTACACACTGTCACACACTGTCACACACTGTCACACACTGTCACACACATGTTACACACTGTCACACACATGTTACACACTGTTACACACTGTCACACACTGTCACACACTGTCACACACTGTCACACACATGTTACACACTGTCACACACATGTTACACACTGTTACACACTGTCACACACATGTTACACACTGTCACACACATGTTACACACTGTTACACACTGTCACACACTGTCACACACTGTCACACACACTGTCACACACTGTTACACACTGTCACACACTGTCACACACATGTTACACACTGTCACACACATGTTACACACTGTTACACACTGTCACACACTGTCACACACATGTTACACACTGTCACACACTGTCACACACTGTCACACACTGTCACACACTGTTACACACTGTCACACACTGTCACACACATGTTACACACTGTCACACACGTCACACACTGTCACACACTGTCACACACATGTCACACACTGTCACACACTGTCACACACTGTCACACACTGTCACACACTGTCACACACATGTCACACACTGTCACACACTGTCACACACTGTCACACACTGTCACACACTGTCACACACATGTTACACACTGTCACACACTGTCACACACATGTTACACACTGTCACACACTGTCACACACTGTCACACACTGTCACACACATGTCACACACTGTCACACACTGTCACACACTGTCACACACTGTCACACACTGTCACACACTGTCACACACTGTCACACACATGTCACACACTGTCACACACTGTCACACACTGTCACACACTGTCACACACTGTCACACACATGTTACACACTGTCACACACATGTTACACACTGTTACACACTGTCACACACTGTCACACACTGTCACACACTGTCACACACATGTTACACACTGTCACACACATGTTACACACTGTCACACACATGTTACACACTGTTACACACTGTCACACACTGTCACACACTGTCACACACTGTCACACACATGTTACACACTGTCACACACTGTCACACACATGTTACACACTGTTACACACTGTCACACACATGTTACACACTGTTACACACTGTCACACACTGTCACACACTGTCACACACTGTTACACACATGTTACACACTGTCACACACATGTTACACACTGTTACACACTGTCACACACACATGTTACACACTGTCACACACATGTTACACACTGTTACACACTGTCACACACTGTCACACACTGTCACACACTGTCACACACATGTTACACACTGTCACACACTGTCACACACATGTTACACACATGTTACACACTGTTACACACTGTCACACACTGTCACACACATGTTACACACTGTCACACACATGTTACACACTGTTACACACTGTCGCACACTGTTACACACTGTCACACACATTACACACTGTCACACACTGTCACACACATGTTACACACTGTCACACACATGTTACACACATGTTACACACTGTTACACACTGTTACACACATGTTACACACTGTCACACACTGTCACACACATGTTACACACTGTCACACACATGTTACACACTGTCACACACATTACACACTGTCACACACTGTCACACACATGTTACACACTGTCACACACATGTTACACACATGTTACACACTGTTACACACTGTTACACACATGTTACACACTGTCACACACTGTCACACACATGTTACACACTGTCACACACATGTTACACACTGTTACACACATGTTACACACTGTTACACACTGTCACACACATGTTACACACTGTCACACACAGTGTTACACACTGTTACACACATGTTACACACTGTTACACACACATGTCACACACTGTTACACACTGTCACACACATGTTACACACTGTCCATTACACATGTACACACTGTCACACACTGTTACACACTGTCACACACTGTTACACACTGCCACACACACTGTTACACACACTGTTACACTGCCACACACTGTTACACACATGTTACACACATGTTACACACTGTCACACACATGTTACACACTGTCACACACGTTACACACTGTCACACACTGTCACACACATGTTACACACTGTCACACACATGTTACACACTGTTACACACATGTTACACACTGTTACACACATGTTACACACTGTCACACACTGTCACACACATGTTACACACTGTCACACACATGTTACACACTGTTACACACATGTTACACACTGTTACACACTGTCACACACATGTTACACACTATCACACACTGTCACACACATGTTACACACATGTTACACACTGTCACACACTGTTACACACACGTTACACACTGTTACACACATGTTACACACTGTCACACACTGTTACACACATGTTACACACATGTTACACACTGTTACACACATGTCACACACTGTCACACACATGTTACACACTGTCACACACTGTTACACACACGTTACACACATGTTACACACTGTCACACACTGTCACACACATGTTACACACTGTCACACACATGTTACACACTGTTACACACATGTTACACACTGTCACACACATGTTACACACATGTTACACACTGTTACACACTGTTACACACATGTTACACACTGTCACACACTGTCACACACATGTTACACACTGTCACACACATGTTACACACTGTTACACACATGTTACACACTGTTACACACTGTCACACACATGTTACACACTGTCACACACATGTTACACACTGTTACACACATGTTACACACTGTTACACACTGTCACACACATGTTACACACTGTCGCACACTGTCGCACACTGTTACACACTGTCACACACTGTTACACACTGCCACACACTGTTACACACATGTTACACACATGTTACACACTGTCACACACATGTTACACACTGTCACACACGTTACACACTGTCACACACTGTCACACACATGTTACACACTGTCACACACATGTTACACACTGTTACACACATGTTACACACTGTTACACACATGTTACACACTGTCACACACTGTCACACACATGTTACACACTGTCACACACATGTTACACACTGTTACACACATGTTACACACTGTTACACACTGTCACACACATGTTACACACTATCACACACTGTCACACACATGTTACACACTGTCACACACTGTTACACACACGTTACACACTGTTACACACATGTTACACACTGTCACACACTGTTACACACATGTTACACACATGTTACACACTGTTACACACATGTCACACACTGTCACACACATGTTACACACTGTCACACACTGTTACACACACGTTACACACATGTTACACACTGTCACACACTGTAACACACACATACTGTACATTTATGAGTTTTTGTCTCTGTTGAAAGCCTGATGAGCTGCCCCACTCTGGTGTCATGCCTGTGCCCATCATGGCAGAGCCGGCACTGGACCACGAGAGACGCTTCCAGGCTGCAGTGGACGTCATCCACAACCTCCCCAAGAACGGTATTTCAGTCCTGGTTTAAGTGTTTCTGTCTAGAATGCAACAGTCAATCATTTATGTTAGACCAAACTGCTTTGAGAGCGAGGAACTAGTTAGGATTGAAAGTCGGTGATCCCACTTATTTAAGGCAAACATTATTAGATATAGTTTAGTTTAGGCATATGTGCTTTACTCCCCACAGTGCCTCTCACTCTTAATGATTATACTAATAATGTGATAATTGGGTTTTATTTCTCAGTAATTGAAAATGTGAATGATGCTGTGATTACTGCCCAGTGTAGTGTGAAGCATAAACCACTGTTATCGTTCAGGCAGCTACCGGCCTTCATACGAGGTAATGCTACGCTTCTACAGCCTGTACAAGCAGGCTGTGTGCGGCCCGTGTGAGGTGTCTCGTCCTGGCTTCTGGGATCCCGTCGGCCGATACAAATGGTCGGTATGCCACGACCCCCTTTTCCTAATCACCAATTATACATCCAACTAACAAGGCCTCACTATTGTGCTGGTGCAGGGACGCATGGAGGAAACTGGGAGAGATGAAGAGAGAAAGTGCCATGGCGGCTTATGTGGATGAGATGAAGAATGTTGCTCAGGAGGTGATTTGGTCTCATAAATGTGTAGTTAAAGCTGCACTAACTGACTTTATTTTTGTATTCATTACTAAAATGCTATCCATGTCCGTGTAGGGCATTGGGATATACGTCCTTTTGACAAAAAAGTAGCGCAGGTTTGTGCAGGCGTGACATTATATTTTAGATCGAGTTTTGATGAAACAAGGAAGAGAATGTGTTTCGGGTCGCAGATTGTGACCAATCACAGCGGACCACTAGCCCCCACTTTTGTGAGAAATCTACATGTCCCCGTTAGCATAGACAGCTGAGTTAGCACAACAAGCGGCGGAGCTAACCTGAAACGTCCTCGTCTTCGTCACCGGTTACTGCTTACACAGCGAGACAGCCATCCAAAAGAAAGTCTCGTTCCTCCGCGCTTCCCGGTTCTATCGTTCTATGGTCACGGCATCCACGTGAAAATCCATATCCATGTATTATCCATATTGGAAGACGCTAGCTCCGTCCCAACAGTGAGTGTGTGTGGGGGGCGATAGCTTCGTGGGTGCGGGGAGGGGAGCAGAAAGAGAGAGGCCAGCGAGTCCGCGGCTTCAAAATCCCAAAGTCAGTTAGTGCAGCTTTAAATCCCCTGAATCTGTATTATTTACAATCTAAGTAAATACGGCAATCATGTGCAATACTGCTTCTTCAGAATGTCACTTTATCTACTTATTACCCTGTATATAACTTTGCACTACTGTATTTTCTGGACTATAAGTCACACCTGATTATAAGCTGCAGGTTTCAATTTTTAGAGAGAAATTGAATGTTGCACTTGTACAAGCCGCACTGGATTATAGGCCGCACCTGTCCCACATTGTAATAGTGAAAAAAAAATCTCAAACACTTTTATTGTGTCTTCACTGTGAGAAATAAGAGTAAGAAGTGAGTCACTGACTGTTCTTAGTCTTCCAGTGTGATGCAGAAAGATAAGGAGCAACATCTGCTGGTCTCTTTTCACTTTTATGTCTGTCCACACAGCGTCTGCACAGAGCCGCAAACGGTGACGTGGAACGCTTCTGCCAAAACAATTTCCAAGTGGTAACCTTTTGTTACTTTCGTGGCAATAAAAAGGATTCTGATTCTGTACAAGGAACAAAAAGCTATTCATTATATGAGATATTACACAATGATATTATAAGTGAGGACTTTTAAACTGTATTTAATCTGCTTGATTGACAAACCTTACATTTCTGTGAAAAAAAAAAGGAAAAAAGTTGTGGCTTTTAGTCCGAAAAATACAGTATAGATTTTTCTGAAAGATTGATGTTGAAGCATTTACAGCTATCTAAGAAACATAGGCAAGGCAAGGCAAGGCATGTTTATTTGTATAGCACAATTCATACACAAGGCAACTCAAAGTGCTGAACAAGATAGCATTAAAATCATAAATAACATAGCAGCTACTTATTTTGTATATTTTGTGTGCTCCCTGTGTCTCTTACTACTGTCCTGTCTGTGCGCTGCAACACTGAACCTTCCCCGCTGTGGGACGAGGATCTGTATCTTATCTATGGTTCTGGCACAGGTCATAGACACGATGCCCATGGATGAGAAGACGGCCTCTTTCTTCCACCACTTCGAGCCTCTCTACCACGTGATCCACGACATGCCCAGGCCTCCGGAGTCTCTGCTGACGATGAAAGAAGGTCACTCATTACACACGTATCACTGAAGAACTACTGAAACACGGTGCATACAAACTGCACACACCAACGTCTGTATCCTAAACACAAGGATTTCTTGTTTTTGTAGATTTGATTGAAGTTGGAGCCAAAGTGCCTCTCACCGGCCTCGTGTGCCGGGGTAAGGTCTCTCTCTCAGCCCAATCCTCTTAACTAGGTTTAAGCTGAGGCACATTTTTTAGTTTTTTGTCAATAATACAGTTTGTTTTCTAACCACAGAAAGAGTCTTTCAAAAGTAACATCAAATATCAATGTATAAACGTTGTACTAAAAAGAAGTGGCAGTGACAGTAGCCAGAAAGACATGTGAAAACTGGTGATTGTACCAAACTGTGACTTTTGGGCGGCACGGTGGCTGAGTGGATAGCACTCTCGCCTCTCAGCAAGAAGGTCTTGAGTTTGAATCCTGGTCGGAACAGGGCCTTTCTGAGTGTTTGCATGTTCTCCCCGTGTCTGCGTAGGTTTCCTCCTGGTGCTCCGGTTTCCCCTACCACTAAAAACATACACACTAGGTAAAATCCTCCAGCTCCGGTCCTGACTAAGCCAAGAATCAACATCTGGAGATGGGTTCCCGGGCTCTGTTACTACGGCGACCACTGCTCCTGACGTAAGCCTTAGTGGCATCAGGATGGGTCAAATGCAGAGGACAAATTTCTCTACGGGGACAATAAAGTGCACATTTACATTTACACAGGGACTAGTTAGATTGATTTGAACACGTACAGTACTTGCTCTCTCTACTTTCTTTTCCTGCACCAAGATAGAGTTCTCAACAAAAAAACATGCATTGGCTGCAACACTGTATAAGCTGCAGTTAAGTTAAAATAACTTTAAAAGAGTGGCTTACAGTCTGGAGAGTACTGTACCCAATTTGTGTTTGTGGTTTGAACGTTTGGTACCCCAGATTTAGTATTATAAGCTTACCTTGGGGTTGAAAAAACATAGCACTTTTTTGTTTAATTGACCCTTTAAAATAAAAAGCCATGGAAAGAATGCATTTGTGTCTTTAAAAAAAATCCTCAATTCAATTTAATTTTTTTTGTTTTTTTGCAAGCCCTAAATCACAACAGCAGTCGTCTCAGGGGACTTTACAAAGTTATCGATTCACCAACACAGATCAGCAAACACAGAAATGCAATAATAAAAATTAAAAAACCTCACTTTGTTACGTTTTCATATGCAAAGTTTTCCATACATTCTTTGAAACATTTGCATTTATCAAAATAGAAAGCTAGCATTCAATATGAAAAAAAATTCTCGTCTAAAAAAATCTTATCATTACAAACTATGTGTTGAAGTCTGAATCCATGAAGAGGCACTCACTCCTTTGCTGCTGTGTGCTGCAGACTTGGGGCTGTCTGAAGCTCTGGTGCTGACCAGTGACTCTGAGAACGAGGTTTTCTGTGACTCTGTGGACTCTGTGGATCAGCTTGACACAAAGGTATTTCAACTAATGTTATCAACTGGATTAGTTAGTTTCATTAGTGTGTTTTCTATCATTTCTGTGTCGCATTAAGGACACTTGCCTGCAGGCTTATGGGCAGGTTAGGGTTTGATAGACCATCTCGTCCCCTCTCCCAGTGGACGAGATGCGACTGGACATGACTGAACTGCACTCTACTCTAGCCTGACCAGCCAGAACAATTAAATAATCCTACAATTCTTACTGAATCCTGCTCTGATAGTGAATATAAGCCTCCTCTTTACAACACTTTTAATTACAACACACTCTGTTATTCTCTGCTCCATCCAGAGGCTACTCCACCTCTGCTGCTGTGACCTAAAGCGCTGTTGCTTAGCTTTTAGAATGATCAATGTATTTGTTTTGTTTGTGTGAATGGATGTGTTTTTGCTGCTTCTGGACACCTGTATATCTCCTACAGGGATCAATAAAGAATCTATCTATTGTACGGTGAATTGCACCTGTCGGCCAGCTCTCATAAAAATGGCCGCATACTCTGGTCTCTTAAGAAAATGTTTTGCCGTCCGCTTAATGTCTCGGATCTGTCCCTGTGTTTTCAGATGTTGAATGGTTTCTGTGAGCGGCACCCACAGAGGCCGCTGGAGAAGAAGGCAGGGGCTCGACAGGTCGGGGCGGGACAGGGGGGAGAGGGCGCCTGGGACGGCAGGGGACCCATGAGGAACCGCAGCAGTGGACGAGGCGCTTCTCACTGGAGGGGACGTAAGTAACACACAGGGTTTACTCAAGAAAACTGCTCTGCATCGAGTGATGCAGAGCATTAGTTTTCTAAATGTTAGGTGTTTACATTCTTCTTGAAATAAAGTAAATACGCTCATGTAAACTCTTGGTAGAATCTCCGTGATCCTAGATGTCTTTAGCGTGTACTGAAGGAATCAGAGAAAAACTCATCATAATGAAGATACATACTATAATCCCAAGTAATCACTGCCCAGACGAAGACTTTTGTCATAAAAAATACAGCTTTCAGAATGCCTCCTTTGCCATTTTTTAATTATTACTATTATCCCTGTTGTTCCTGATTTCTAAATGTAAAGTGATCAGAGGTATGTACAAGCCAAGAGCTAATGTCAAACTGCCCAAATGAGATGCACATTCTGCTCTCTGATTGGATGAACATTTTAAATCATGTCCATTGTATTTTTAAATAAGAATTACTTACTTAACCTTTCATTCAGAAAAGGTCCAATGTGATGTGTTTGTGTTGAGCTTCTTTCTGGGACACAGATGTAGATAATAATAAAAAACATCTATAGAATATTACGTACTGTCTCTTTAAAATATTTCCGTGGGTGCTTCAAAGGTGGTAATCTCTACGTCTTTTTTCTGCCTAAAAACCTGTCATTTCCCCACTGTGGGACTAATAAAGGCATTCATTCATTCATTCATTTGTTTTAATGCTAATGTTGAATATACAAAGTTGAGTTTAGATGTTAATATCAATTTCCTTTTGCAGTTTGAAAATCAGATACCCCAGCTTTAAGTGCTTTCAATAAACTATATTTTTGATCCTGTAATTGTACTTTCCCCTTTTGGTGTCGTAAATGTCCGTCTGTGCTGTGTGCAGGAGGCCCGGCCGAGGGCGACATGAGGCGTCCGGGACCCGAGGGCAACAGGGGGGCGGGTGGAGGGGGAGGGGGGGACAGGAGGGGGTCCTGGGGGGTCCATGAGGCTCAGCTCCAGCAGCAGATCATCCTGGCTCTGCACCGGCTCCGACAGGACATGAAGAGTGTGGGCCATCGCCTGGAGCTGCTGGAGCGACTGGCAGCGACAAACGTGAGGCTCTGCTTCTGCTTTGACCTCAGAGATACACACACCTCAGAGATACACACACCTCCACACACCTCAGTGATCCACACACCTCAGAGATACACATACCTCAGAGATACACACACCTCAGAGATACACACACCTCAGAGATACACACACCTCAGAGATACACACACCTCAGAGATACACACACCTCAGAGATACACACACCTCAGAGATACACACACCTCAGAGATACACACACCTCAGAGATACACACACCTCAGAGATACACACACCTCAGAGATACACACACCTCAGAGATGCACACACCTCAGAGGATACACATACCTCAGAGATACACACACCTCAGAGATACACACACCTCAGAGATACACACACCTCAGAGATACACACACCTCAGAGATACACACACCTCAGAGATACACACACCTCAGAGATACACACACCTCAGAGATTCACATACCTCAGAGATACACACACCTCAGAGATACACACACCTCAGAGATACACATACCTCAGAGATACACACACCTCAGAGATACACACACCTCAGAGATACACACACCTCAGAGATACACACACCTCAGAGATACACACACCTCAGAGATACACACACCTCAGAGATACACACACCTCAGAGATACACACACCTCAGAGATACACACACCTCAGAGATACACACACCTCAGAGATACACACACCTCAGAGATACACACACCTCAGAGATACACACACCTCAGAGATTCACACACCTCAGAGATACACACACCTCAGAGATACACACACCTCAGAGATACACACACCTCAGAGATACACACACCTCAGAGATACACACACCTCAGAGATACACACACCTCAGAGATACACACACCTCAGAGATACACACACCTCAGAGATACACACACCTCAGAGATACACACACCTCAGAGATACACATACCTCAGAGATACACATACCTCAGAGATACACACACCTCAGAGATACACACACCTCAGAGATACACACACCTCCACACACCTCAGTGATACACACACCTCAGAGATACACACACCTCAGAGATACACACACCTCAGTGATACACACACCTCAGTGACACACACACCTCAGTGATACACAGACGTGTGTGTGTGTTTCAGGCGCTGGGCTCAGAGGAGGCTCTGTGTTTTCACTGCGCAGGCTGCATTTGTGAGGTACAGATCTGTTGTTGAGAAAGTTGGATCTGGGCTGGTGTGGTTCTGGTGTGTTTCTGGTGTATGTTTCTGGTGTGTCTCTGGTGTGTTTCTGGTGTGTGTTTCTGGTGTGTGTTTCTGGTGTATGTTTCTGGTGTATGTTTCTGGTGTGTTTCTGGTGTGTTTCTGGTGTGTGTCTCTGGTGTGTTTCTGGTGTGTGTTTCTGGTGTGTGTTTCTGGTGTATGTTTCTGGTGTGTGTCTCTGGTGTGTTTCTGGTGTGTGTCTCTGGTGTGTTTCTGGTGTGTGTTTCTGGTGTGTTTCTGGTGTGTGTCTCTGGTGTGTTTCTGGTGTGTGTCTCTGGTGTGTTTCTGGTGTGTGTTTCTGGTGTATGTTTCTGGTGTGTGTCTCTGGTGTGTGTTTCTGGTGTGTTTCTGGTGTGTGTTTCGGGTGCGTTTCTGGTGTGTTTATGGTGTGTGTTTCGGGTGTGTTTCTGGTATGTTTCTGGTATGTTTCTGGTGTGTGTTTCTGGTGTGTTTCTGGTGTGTTTCTAGTGTATGTTTCTGGTGTGTTTCTGGTGTATGTTTCTGGTGTGTTTCTGGTGGGTTTCTGGTGTGTTTCTGGTATGTTTCTGGTGTGTTTCTGGTGTGTGTTTCTGGTGTGTGTTTCTGGTGTGTTTCTGGTATGTTTCTGGTATGTTTCTGGTGTGTTTCTGGTGTGTGTTTCTGGTGTGTTTCTGGTGTGTGTTTCTGGTGTGTTTCTGGTATGTTTCTGGTTTGTTTCTGGTGTGTGTTTCTGGTGTGTTTCCGGTATGTTTCTGGTGTGTTTCTGGTGTGTGTTTCTGGTGTTTTTCTGGTGTGTTTCTGGTGTGTGTTTTTGGTATGTTTCTGGTGTGTGTTTCTGGTATGTTTCTGGTGTGTTTCTGGTGTGTGTTTCTAGTGTTTTTCTGGTGTGTTTCTGGTATGTTTCTGGTATGTTTCTGGTGTGTTTCTGGTGTGTGTTTCTGGTGTGTCTCTGGTGTGTGTTTCTGGTGTGATTCTGGTGTGTTTCTGGTGTGTGTTTCTGGTATGTTTCTGGTGTGTGTTTCTGGTGTGTGTTTCTGGTGTGTTTCTGGTGTGTGTTTCTGGTGTGTGTTTCTGGTGTGTTTCTGGTGTATGTTTCTGGTGTGTTTCTGGTGTATGTTTCTGGTGTGTTTCTGGTGTGTTTCTGGTGTATGTTTCTGGTGTGTTTCTGGTGTATGTTTCTGGTGTGTCTCTGGTGTGTTTCTGGTGTGTGTTTCTGGTATGTTTCTGGTGTGTTTCTGGTGTGTGTTTCTGGTGTATGTTTCTGGTGTTTCTGGTGTGTTTCTGGTGTTTCTGGTGTGTGTTTCTGGTGTATGTTTCTGGTGTTTCTGGTGTGTTTCTGGTGTTTCTGGTGTGTTTCTGGTGTGTGTTTCTGGTGTATGTTTCTGGTGTTTCTGGTGTGTTTCTGGTGTGTGTTTCTGGTATGTTTCTGGTGTGTTTCAGAGACGATAAGATCAAGAATATGTGTCTTGTTACTTTAGATTTGATACAATATATTTCTAAATGAAATGCTACAGTGAAGGAACAAAAGGCTTTTGGTTCTTTACCTCAGACTCGGCTCCAACACAAATACAATGTTACACATAATACAACACTGTGGCTGCTTTTATATTTACTTTATTGAAGGTTATTTATAAAGTCAAAATATAAATATAAAATATATTCAATTTTGGGTCGACAGTAGCTCAGTTGGTGGAGCATTGGCCTTTGAGCCTGAAGGTCGTGGGTTCGAGCCCATGTCGGGACCTACTCCAACTGCTCCCACTAATGTCTGCTGTTGTTGTGTCCTTGGGCAAGACACTTAACCCCACGTTGCCTGAAGCCCCCGCTGAAAAACCAAGGCTGTGGCACCATCTTCCTGTGGACCCACCCCCTGCAGAGGCTCAGAGACTGGTGCTATGAGCTTTGGGTGCAGCTCTGGTTGTCACCCCCCGACCCAGAAATGGACTAATAAAGGGGATGAAAATCAATTAATGAATGTTTTCAATTTTGAGAAACATGAGAAAATCTAAATATATAAAATATAAATTAAAAATACAAAAAATGGTTTTTAATCTTTTTAAAATCTTTTTTTTTTTTTTTAGCACACCTCTAGATTTCTGGAAATAGATAAAACAAGTAATGAAAGGGATAAATCTATCTTTTAGTAAAGTTGCCAATTTCAAGAAATTTGAGCCCAAAGTGTCAAATACTGACTCATAAAGCTCTTGTTAGTTTCCATAATATATTGTGTTTTTAATAAAATAAAGACACCATGCTGTGGTCTGAGTCGTTCACAACATTAAACTTTGAACAGTCTAAAAAAGTTACGTACCCCAGCTTTAAATCTTTGAGGCGCCTACGAGTGAATGACATTATTATGATTATTATTCTGATTTTGTGGAAATGATTGTTAAACTTCTGACGTCAGAGTTTATACCGTCTCTGATGTGTTCTGTTTTGCAGCAGGAGAAGTGGTGGCCTTTCGACGTGTCGGGCCCCACGCTGCTGCTGTTCCTAGTGTGGCCCTTTGTGGCTCACGGTCTTCTCTCTCTGCTCAGAAAAGGCAATCACAGAAGAATACCCTCCTGAAGCTGAGCAAAAGCCTCCTCAATCCTCGTGCACGGACTGGTCTGGGTTTGTTCACAATCAAAGGAAACGAAGCTGGAATAAGTGTCGCTGTGAACACGCGGTGTGTGAGTCTGAAATCTGAAACACTGATTAAAGTTCAAGTCCAGTTTGATTTAGACCTTTGCTGATGGTTTTGTGTTTTTTTTAACTTGTCAATTTCAGAACATTAGTAGCAATTGTGGAAGTGAAAATATCCAAAATAAAGGTGCAAAAGCAAAGATAATAATAATTTAATATTTATATATAACATTTACATGGTACAGTAGGTTAATTTCTCAAGGCTTTGTACAAGGATTACAAAACATACTCGGATACAGCTCAGCACATGGAAGGAACACTGTCACTGGGGCTTGCATTGGCGTTGCACAGTGATTGTACGAAGGATAGAAAACTAATTTGGCATGACTTCACGTAGCTGCCTCATGTCCTCACTTTCAGATATTTAGTACGACTATAGTAGTTACTGACTCCACCGTTTGTGCAGAAGGCAAAGGAAGGTTAACTCCACAGGGAGGATGTGAGGGTTAGTCCGGCAGAAGAATCTACTGCAGCAACAACACTCTGCAAACAACTAGTGTCTGCAAACAACTAGTCCTGTTTCCACGAGCTTGAAGGGAACACACAGTCTGAGTCTGTGAGTCACAGACTCACAGACTCACAGACTCACAGACTCACAGACTTACAGATTCTCAGACTCTCAAGCCAGAACCATAATCACCCTCTTCCTCTTCTGAAGAGTGAAGCAGAAGCTCAGACTGCAGCTGTTGGTTCTTCTTCATTTGGAGTGGATGTGTTTCTAGTATTAGTGCAGTGTTATTGCAACAGCTTATACCACCACTGTGTGGCGCCGCCATCCTCGGTTCTGCTCTCGGGGCTTTGAGAGTTTTCTCAGCACCACTGAGGACCTAGAAGACCTGGGGTCTGACCAGAGATAAGTGCCTGCTGCCCCCCATGGCTCTGGATTGGCCTGTTGAAATGACACTGTTGCGATTGCAGATCCTAGTGGAACTCCGCTCTCGTTGACTTGTATGACCTCCACCTTGTCGGAGCTCCAGCCTCGGGCTCGATCCTCAAGTTCCAGAGTCATGGACAAAGCCCTGCTGCGAGCAGAGGGGGTTTTCTTTCTGCGGAGTTGAACTGCTGGACCCCAGTTACTGGAGGGGCTCACATAGAAACTGGAGGTGTTCACCAGAGGGATCCTGGAGCGAGAGAACCAGGCTGGGCTTTCCAACCCTGCTCCCTGCCCTGCTCCCACTGCTCCCAGCCCTGCTCCCACTGCTCCCTGCCCTGCTCCCACTGCTCCCAGCCCTGATCCCACTGCTCCCAGCCCTGATCCCACTGCTCCCAGCCCTACTCCCGGCCCTGTTCTACAGGAGTAAGTGTGAGGTGGAGCAGGGGTCTCAGGTGGAGGCTGCAGCTGGTGGAAACTGTGCGGACGGAGCAGTCTGCGCCTCACTCCTGCGCTCCTCCTCAGTGGTCTGGGCATCGTCAGTGTCTCTCGCTGTGATTCCTTGGTCTTTTCAAACGTTACCTTCATTTCACTTTTAACCTCTTTTTGGTCGGACACATCCTCCTGTTCCTGGTCCTCTGTTTGGACCTCACTCTGGGTCTTGGAGCTACCTCGCTCCCCTTCCTGCTGCCCCCTCATGTTGCTGGATTTGACTGGCTCATGCTCCAAGTCTTCCTCTGAGCTGATTCCCGGGAGACGGTCCGTGGGTGATATCTTGCGTTTGCGGGTAACAGCAGAGATGAAGTCCTTGGCATTCTTGGGGCTCAATGAAATCTGCAAAACCCATGTTTGTATAAAGCAACATTCTTATTTTCTCTCAGTGACATCAGCCATTTTATTACCTTTAGATTAAGTGAATCGATGGTGGAATCTAGAAGAAAATAAAAACACAAGCTTTTAGGTACAAGATAGTGAACAATTGTGTAGTTCTGCAGAATGACTCCACAGGATGTAAACTATTGATAGACACTGGCAGATGTTAGACAGACTTTCCATGTGCCAGAGCGATTGAACATTTCAAATACAAATGTTTATATTTGTAATTGGTAAAGCATCTCAAAACCTCCTCAGTCAGTAAATGTATAAAAAGATACTATAAGAAATGAAACACTTTTGGACAGTATATATCTGCATCTGATATTTAATCATACAGTGCGTCCGTGTCTATCAATAATCTTACATTCCAGTCATAGAACTCTGTTATTTTGGGTCAAATGGACAGATTCAGGTTTGTCTCAGGACAGGACAATGTAAAACAGTCAGGTGGGGGCACAAAGTCACAAACACAGAGGTCCTACCGCAGCGGGGCCTCCACTCTCTCTGCTGCAGCGCACAGAAAAGGACACACACATTAAAGATACAAAGGTGTGTGTGCGCGTGTGTGATTGTGTCTCTGTGTGTGTTTGCATGTGTCTGTGTCTGTGTGTGTGTGTCTGTGTGTCGGTGTATCTCTGTGTGTCTGTGTCTCTCTGTCTTCTGTGTGTGTGTCTGTGTCTGTGTGTGTGTTTCTGTCTGTGTTTGCATGTGTCTGTGTCTCTCTGTCTTCTGTGTGTGTGTCTCTGTGTGTGTGTTTCTCTCTGTGTGTATGCATGTGTCTGTGTCTCTCTGTCTTCTGTGTGTGTGTCTCTGTGTGTGTGTTTCTGTCTGTGTGTTTCTGTCTGTGTGTTTGCATGTGTCTGTGTCTCTCTGTCTTCTGTGTGTGTGTCTCTGTGTGTGTGTTTGTATGTGTCTGTGTCTCTCTGTCTTCTGTGTCTCTGTGTGTTTGCGTGTGTCTCTGTGTCTGTCTGTGTCTGTCTCTATGTGTGTGTCTGTCTTTCTGTCTTCTGTGTCTCTGCATGTCTCTGCGTGTCTCTGTGTGTGTGTCTACCCACAGTGTGTGTAAGCAGTGGTTGTGAGTTGGTGCATGCTGCTCTGTGTGAGTTTGTGGCCCAGTCCCAATACCCACACTGCACCCTACACACTTCTACGAAGTGTGCATTTGTTCGAAGTGCACACCAGGGTTGGAGTGCGCAGGTTACAAGTGTGCAAAAAAGGCGGAATTGGGACAGTGCACTGAGTGCAGGTTACGTCATCGACTCGTCAAGAGATGGTCATTTTCAGACCTAAACTTTATAAACATTAAAGGTAACTTTGTCTGACCCTTTGGGAAACAAAATGAATTGCTTCACACACGTTAAAATACATGTATATTAGTTGTTTCTAATTAGAGATAGCTGTATAATTTTAAGTTAAATGTGGGTAACTAACTATCTGGTCAGTTTTTATACATTCTAAGATTATTGTACTAAGTGTAAAGTTTAAATTGAATGTTATATAAACGCTTGTTTTGAAAAGTTATTAAATTGTTAAAACACAATGTCCGTTTATGCTTCTTTCCAAGTAACATAGCAAAACTTATTTACACACATACTGCATATATATTTCAAATTTTATATTTAAATGCATTTTCCCGACGTTTTGGTGTGTACCGCAAAGAATTATGGGCAATATCCTTCGCCAGAGTGCGCATAGATGCAGGCTACGGCGAAGTGTGGATCAGGGGCGCAAAGGGGGCGGGGCCAAAGACCTCCCTGGAGAATTGGGACACCCTACGCACTCGCACACTTTATCGGGAACACGCAAATGAGGGGCGCAAGGGTGGAAGTGCGAGTATTGGGACGGGGCCTTTGTCTCTGTCTGTGTCTCTGTCTGTGTCTCTGTGTGAGTCTGTGTGTCTCTGTGTCTCTGTCTGTGTCTCTGTGTGAGTCTGTGTGAGTCTGTGTGTCTCTGTCTGTGTCTCTGTGTGAGTCTGTGTGAGTCTGTGTGTCTCTGTCTGTTAGTCTGTGTGAGTCTGTGTCTCTGTCTCTGTGTGAGTCTGTGTGTCTCTGTGTCTCTGTCTGTGTCTCTGTGTGAGTCTGTGCGTGTCTGTGTCTCTGTGTGAGTCTGTGTGAGTCTGTGTGTCTGTCTGTGAGAGTCTGTGAGAGTCTGTGAGAGTCTGTGAGAGTCTGTGAGAGTCTGTGTGAGTCTGTGTGTGTCTCTGTCTCTGTCTGTGTCTCTGTGTGAGTCTGTGTGTGTCTGTGTCTCTGTGTGAGTCTGTGTGTGTCTGTGTCTCTGTGTGAGTCTCTGTGTGAGTCTGTGTCTCTGTCTGTGAGTCTGTGTGAGTCTGTGTCTCTGTGTGAGTCTCACCGTCGCAGTCTCCGGTGCGGCCGATGTTGCACAGCAGGTGGTCGATGTTGGGAACTGGAGAAGAGTCCGTGTCATGCTCTGGGGCCTTCACAAACACAACAAGTGAGCGTCAAAAACCACGGAAGGATGAGAAATGATAGAATGTACCTTCTCTTTGTCCAACGGTCCGTCTGAGAAGAACCAGTCACTCTGAAACAGGAACCAGTCTCAGTTCAGTTCCAAATATCACTTTGTCTAATACAATTTCAGAAAATATCCACACATTTCTTACAAATAACACATTATAATTGATTGTCACTATTGTTGTGATAAACATCTATTTGTAGATTTGTATTGTTTAAAATAATAATACAAATACATAATAATATTGATTTTCTATTTGGTAATAACACATTTTTCTTTCAGATAAAAAATCATTGAAGATTTACAGGAGGATTTTCCCAAATTTTAGGAAATAACTGCTCTCTCCACTTATTTTTTTAAACAAAACTCTCTGGTCTTATTGGACGAGCACGTATCACCAGAATGATTGACAGTTGGGAGGACCAATAGTCTTGAGGATCCACCCGGAAGTAGAAAATCCTCCTATATACCTTTAAAATATGTAGATTGTCTTTTCTTATTTTGACTTTTTTTAAATAACAATTCAGAAAATACATTGATTGTGTATTTTTGTTCAAATGTCCCCTATCACAACAGATTAAAGGTCCCCTGTGTCCGGATACATTTTGCATCTGCAGCCTCTGAAAGACGCCCAGCCCTAATCATCTCAGTGTCGTGTCATTTCTTACGTGCAGAATGAGCGTCTCTATGATCTTGTAGCGGTCAGCCATGTGCGTCACCATGTCCATCATGTTGTCCTCAGACGTCCGGACCAGAGTGGGGCCAAACACCAGGGCCAGATTACGGGGTTCCATCTAAAGAGGGGCAGTCGCACATTAAACACAAAAACCTCACAAACACAAACCGTTCAAAGACATGTCATTCTGTCGTACCTTATTCTTCTCGGAGCAGTCGGCCACTCGCCTGAGGTGTTCCAACAAGAACTTCAGAGTGTGAAAGTAGTGGTCGGGGAGACTGTGGATCTATAAAAACACACGTGGGTTAAATTAGGCAGAAAGTCTCGTTAATATGATAATGAGAGAGATTTTTAATCAGGCAGAAAGCACCGACCAGTTTCTTCATGGTTTTGAGTCTGCTGTCTGCGTCCTCAATCCGATTGGCTTCAATGAACAAACTGTATTTATCTACAAAGAATACATGAAACACATCAGAAAAATCATTGAATAACAATTGTTACGACATAAACATAAACAAAACTTCCCCATTCTCGCTCCCAAAAGAGTGAGTTTGAAGTGTCTGAGGGGTTAGTTATTGTGAGCACAAATCTAAACGCTAGAATTGGACATAATCGCCGCTTCATGAATTTAAACTGGAGTCTCCAAACCTTTTCTCCAAACAGATGCTTTAAGCCAGAGGTGGGCAACCTTTTTAGCGTCTCCCACTTTGACAAATATTTCTGTGGGAACCATACAATCTTTTTGCTGTGAATATGTGTGATTTTTTATTTTTTTTAACAAGATCAACACATTTAGAGTGAAATGTAAGTTTGTTTTGTTAATAAAAATTTGTATAATGAAGAAATACAGAGCTTAAAAAAGTTCTTACTATGAATGCCCAATAAGATTTAAGAGCCAGAAACAATTGATTGATACTGATTATTTAAAAAGTCTTCCAAGCAATAGTTCTGGAGACCCCTGATTTAAAGCTGTGTGGATCCATAGAATTAGTGCTAAACAAAAGTGCTGCTCCTACCGTCTGTAAACAGGGGTTCTGGAAGTTTTCTGAAGAAAGACTTTAGCAAACTGCTGATGACGTTCAGGTCCTGGAACCGCTGCAACAACACACATTCTGGTCACATTTGGGTTGTAACTGTCATGTCAGTAAGATGTGTGTCTAATGTCAAGCAGCATTGTCCTGTTTGTGTAGTTATCATAAATATCTGTGAGGAAATGGCCACACCTCGTCCCCGCTGTTGATGTCCAGCCCTTTATTGAGGTGCTCCTGCAGACTGGACACCAGGGCGTTGTTTCCTGGGACTCGGTAGATCCCGGTGTATTCTAGTCCCATAGACTCCACCACGGCACAACACATCTCCACAATCAGAGGCACAAACTGTGGAGGAGTTAAAGATTGGATAGTTACATCCTTAGATCCTTTTTGGGATACTTAAAGAGCGACTAAACACCTGTGCCCAGCCTTACTCCGCCCACATGAAGATTTGAAAATGTTCTCTAAAAAGGGCGTTGCCTGGAGGACTAAGGGACAAGAAGGGGGGCTTAGAGTTGGGCGTGGTCTGGGCTGTGATTGACAGCTCACTTGTCACACACAAAAAAACAGACAGTTGTCATTGCTGCTTAAAGCAATAGTTTACAGACCAGAAAGTCTCATTCCACCCTTGTTTACACACTAAGATAATTGTAAAGCTACACACCTGAACCTAATCACACTCAATAATCTCAGAATGACTCATGTAATTTAATTTTAATCCACTAGATGGCGCCAGAATACTCCAAACTGCAGCTGGGGCGTGTGTGAGAGTTGAATGGGTTTATATCACTGGCTCTGACAGACTGACGTCACACAAAACAACTGATGTCATAGAGAACTTCAGAGTCAATGGAGAGGCCAGGACCAAATTCAAATGTAGTACCACCAAAAAGGTTGAGAGGGCGCCACACAGCGTTTTTTGGCTCAAAAGTGATATTTTATCTAATTTGAACTAAAATGTCAAAAAAATGACCAGGATATGTAGACAGCACTACAATAAACATACTTATGCAGTTTATGAGTTAAAAAAAGTTGATTTGGTGTTTAGTCGCTCTTTAAAGAAGCTATACCTGATTTATTTTCTGGCGAGTTCATAAAATACGTATTACAACATACAAGTTGTATTAAAAATTGTAATTTAATTGAGAAATTGAGCTTATTGATTCAGCTTGTGTATGATATCAGTCCATACAAAGGGCTGAGGTGACTCTTTGAGAGACCTGCGCCTCAGTTATGGTACTTCATATTTCGTTATCAGTGCGTTGCTTTAGTGCCATTTTATCAGTGATTGTCGTGCAGCTTACGAGAAGTTGTGCTAATGCCAATGTTAGCATACCAATCACATCGCTACTAAAACTACTGTAGATGGCTCTGTGGGAGGAGAGTGTAGGGGAGAGTAGGAAAATGAAAAGCCTGTGAGGGAGTTGGGGGCGATGTAAAACTTTCAAACTGAAAAAACCTTTCAGAATCGGGTCTACCTCCATAAAAAGTGACATTTGACATTATATTTTATACATGGAACTCACTTTATGGTTAATGGCGGGTTGACAGTCCTCGAGACGCACTCCAAAAGCTTTTGGAGTACTGCTCTTTTTGCTCTTCTTCATCAGATTGATGCTCCATGGACTCTTGTTGTCCTCTGCAATGATAAATGTGAACTTGGTGAGATTCTGACACAGGCCACGCCCACAACTGAGTCTCCGCCCACCGTCCTTTACCTGCTCTGTTGTCTGAAGGCGGTGCAGTGCGGTGGCTTTTGGGAGAGACGTCTTGCCTGTGACCGGTCAGACTGCACACACACAAACACAAACACACACACAAACACACACACACAAACACACACACACACACACACACACACACGGTTTGACAGGATTCTGACAGTTAAAGTAGCAATATGTAAGATTCATCATTAAATGGCCCTAATCTGTCAAAAGGCATTAATAAAACATGCTCTTTTCCAATACTTCTTGGAACAGAATTTCAAAAATTAGTAACAAAATTTTGTTTCATTTCAATGTCCCACCCTACACCGTTTCACCAATCAGAAAGTCCGTGGTCCGGGCACCAGAACTCACCGCGTGGAGCTAATCTCACTGGTAAAGTACCATGTGGCGCAGAACTAAAAAAGGTCTCGTTATGATTCTCAAATCATTAACGACAAAACAAGGAATAAAACCAGGATTTCTATCTTTGTGAAAAAGGTGTTGGTTATAGATTTGTTGTTGACAAAACTCTTGTCTATTCAGCTGTTATGGTCCCAGCTGGATTCGTCTGCATATCTGGCAACCTGAGTCAGGGAGAGTGGGAGAGGCTGCAGTACCACTTTTGGCCACATTTTTACGTACTGCTCCTTTAAGAGTGACACATGCTAATCCTCAGCTTTGGACAAATATAAGACATTACTAATACTGTTTAGGGAAAATGTAATGTAATTGAAGAATCACACATGTTATGAATGATATTTGTATGACCGCAAAAAAAACCAAATAACTATTATTTTAGACTCTTCATTAAACCAAACTGTGAAGCAGCCATTACTTCAAGGTGCAAGTCCAAATTTGGCCACACATTCAGATCGAGGCATTTTGGGAAAAGTTTGACTCCTTTGATGATCAGACACACTTTAAACAATCTAGAAAAGCAACGCCACAATCAATCAAATGTAATGTTGTTTTTGTCAAACCATCAAATTTGGCAACATCACACAGCTTTTTAACGGTTTAAAGACCCTGGTCCTGTAGTCTAAATGCTACAGGACTATTTAACCAGCGACAGAGAACATTTAGAATCATTTGCCGTAGTCTTTAGGCCCATGTTTAAAGACTCACCTTTGTTTTCTGTAGTCATTCAACTTCTTGTTAATCAAAGCTTGTCTGAATCCATTCTCCTAAAACACAGGAATCCCATTTAGAGAATGTAAATGTGTCGTTCTAGTCTATATTGTTGTGTTTACAAACCTCGCTGTCACTTTTGCTGCTGTCGCGGATGGTTTTGATCCAGCTCAGCATGTCTTCACGGCTCTCCGCCTGCAGGAGGTATTCACAGAAGTCCTGGGTGGTGAGGCGGAGAACATGTTTGCGTTTTGTTTCACTGTAGGCGATGTCTATGAGGCAGCCGTGAACGCTGATGGGAGAATGCTCCTCTTGTCCCGGGACAGCCCCAGCTCCATGAAGGACTGCCTCCCTCTTGTCTTTGTAGACGAACAGCGAGTGCGAACGTAGAACTGAGAAAACACGCTTCCACGGTCGAATACCAGCCCCAACCTTCTGCAAATGAGATGAGAGTCATGGACTCTTAAAAACAAGATGGACACAAGTAAAGCTTTTCCTCGTGACTCGCACCTTTCCCTTCTCGCTGAGCACCTGTTTGCAGTGCAGCCAGCCCTCTTTGCGCACATCGCTGACAGCCGTCGTGCCGAGCTCTGAGGTGGAATGGCGTTTGGAGCGAGCGTCCTCCTGCGCTCGCAGACTGTCCAGAGACTACAACAACACACACTTAACTCACCTCATCGCAGAGAACAACGTAAACACATTGTTTACACTCACCCCGTCCAGGAAGAAGCTCTTCACTCTTTTTGGAAGTTTCCTAAGAAGAAGAAGGATATTGATACTACACTACAAACTGTACAAACTTTAAATAGTTTACAAAGGTCTTACGAGAAGACTCGGCTCTCGTCTTTGAAGATGTTGAGTCCTTCGTCGCAGGACTTGGATCTCTCTGTGGTGACGGCCAGCAGGTACGAGGAGCGGCGGCTTTTCATGCTCGCTGAGCAGCACAAAAGCACAAAGTATATTATTAACCAGCTTTAAATGTGTGGAAAAGGAAACAATATTTAATGAAGCTGACAGGACGTTAAAGAGGGACCGACCTATGAACGGGATGGAGGACAGTGAATCCATGGCCTGCTGGGCCAGGCTCCCATTGGTCCTGCCGCTGTGAGTGGGCTTCTTTCTCAGGATGACGTCCTGCTTTGTGGGCCTTGTCCCCACCTCCTCAGGCAGGACAGGAGAGGACAGGGGTCTTTTGGGACCTTCCCAGTCATGGGCTGTGTTATGACAGTCCTCTGTGAAGGTTTGTGCGTGTTGAGGGAGATGCAAGCTCTTTCTGGACCCACAGGATTGGTTGTAGTTAGAGTAGTCCACCTCAGGTGTACTCCGAGGAGTCTGGGGTTCAGCGACCTGCTGACGGCTCTTTCTGACGGTGGGGGGCACACGAGGGGAGGGTTCTTGCTGAGGCTCTGGATCTTTGTGATAGGAGAGCTGGCTTTGAGGAGATACCAGTGTATTTGCATGTTTCAACATTTCCACAGAGCGGCCATAGTTCTGCTCATAGTCTGCATAGGCAGCTACAAGAGGCTGGGAACATGCTCTTCTTGTGTCAGGGGCGTCTGTGCCGCCTCCTTGTCTGTAAGAGTCCTGAAACGTGGCTGTAGCCACCTGTCGATGGTGCTGCAAGCTGTTTGTGTGGTGTGGCTCGCCAAAGCCAGGGTCCACTCCCAGTGCTATGCCCAGTCCGGCCAGCCGGTCCTGGGACACTCCACGGTTGCGGGGGGACAGGTTCTCTGCAGCCTGCGCCTGGCTGTAGTACCATTCAGACAGGGCCTGTCGGCACAGGGCCTCCGCCCGGCTGGACGCAGGAAGGCTACTTTTACGAGGGGGTGGGAGAGTGGCCGACGCTATTGCCTCATGGTGATTTCTGAAGTGAAAGTCCAAAGCAGTGAGTGTTGCAGATGATCGAATCTTGTTTGTGTTTGGCACATAGTCCTGGCCGGTGTCCGCGTGGTCCTGGGGGGAGAAAACCGCTCGACAGGGGCAGTTGTCCAATGTGCTCAGGGGGCGGGGTCTGGAGCAGGAATCACAGAGCGGTGGGGGCCGTGACTGGATGTGCACTTCTTCATGATGAGGATGATTTGTCCTGAGATAGGCGTCCTGGGAGCAGGCCTGTGAAGAGACATGATGAAACTCTGCAGGTGTATCCACTAGAAAGTGAACAGTATCTTAATAGTAATATACTTCTTACCAGCTGTAGAATGTCTTGGTCTTTGGGTACAATGGACAGCTCCAGTATGCTGTCACTATTGAAGAAATAAAAACAGTGGTCATTGTAGAACTATCACACGTTTACTGACTGTTTATACACACTTATCTATACTCTGTGACTGGAATCTACCTGTTCTGGATGAGTGCAATCACTTGAGAGTACGTTTTTCCCAAAATACTTTCTCCGTTAACTTTAACCAGGCGGTCCCCTAAAGAAACACAACAAATGTGGTGATAAATGTTATTATTATTGAAAAGACTAAAGCACATGTTTCCTGCGGTCCTTTTACCTGAGCACAGTCCCGCTGCCTGAGCCGGACCACTCTCCCGAACACTCTTCACAAAGATGGTGTCCATGGGCTCCAGGCGCGAATGAGAACCTCCTGTAAAAGGTTTGATATAATCATTCATTTAATATTCAAACATTCATTAATGGTTGATGAGTTAACGCAGACACGCACCTTTCCCAGATGTGTTTCCGTTCTCTTTGTCCTGGAGACACAAGAAGAACAAGTGGACATCAGTGCTACACCTGGTATTTATTCTGGAGTCCTAGGTCACATTCATGAAGTAGAATTGTATTTCTGTTCAAATGCAGGTGACATCACAACACTACAAGAAAAGGGCATTTAAAAAAAAAAAAAAAAAAAAAACATGTTGGAATATAAAATGTCCAAATGTTTTCAGAGTCCAATGTTTTTCACAATCCTTATTTGTTAGTGATTTTTTTTAATCCTTTTTCATTCCACCAATTTTAATCTTTTGTCTGACAGTCTTTCCACTGGCCAATAATCTGCATGTATTTTTTAAAATATCTGTTTATTCTTTGACCTTTATGAGAAACTAATAGACCAGAGTTGATGTGTACAACAAGGAAGTGGAACTTTTGGAAAGATTTTGTTTTGTGTGGATTGTTCCAGGAATTAGAGAAAAGACTAGAAAATAAACTAGTCTCGATGGAAAGATTTCTCAGCTCCACCAAAATGTGAAACTATAGACTCTTGGGAAGCTTGTGATGTCACATGAACGCAACCTATTGTGAGTATTTAAGACATATTCCCAAAGCATTATCAGTGTTAGTGCTACAGTACGTACCTTGAGAGAGTGGAGAGACGCATCTGGTGGATAGACGATGAAATGACGCAGCGTGAAGCCAAAGCCCTGGGAGTTTTTCTGGAGCACAATTGTCCTGGGACCTCGCCATGAAAACCCCTCCACTTCGCCGGACGACAGAGGACGCCGCCGGTTCTTGTTGGACAATGTGATGCCATCCCTCTCCCCTTTAACCTGTGTGGAAACAAGAGGAAGTGGGTGTAGGCACAACTTGACTCAGTTCCTCTCTCTACAAAGGGTTGTCCTCATTCCTTCACCAACAACGATAGAGTTAAAAATATCAAATTATCAAATCTGTGAATAACAAGTGGAAAGCGTGACTGTTTGTACTTGTTTGAGACTTCGATGAGTCATGAGTGCGAGGAGCTGTCAGAGGCTGCGCTGAGAGAAATCATCAGTAATAAACACAAAAAACCCGAGCCAAAAACAAGCCTAGCCACGTACGCACGAGCTAACAAGACGTTTTTAAAAGCTTGGATTCGGCCTTCACTCTCGACGTGGTTAATGTGTGGAGCACTCAGAAAGACGTTGTTCTGAAGTGCCACTATAAAAAGGCGCACCCCCTGCCAACCACCGGGGCTTTCATCTCCGCTCTCAGAACGAGCAGAAGCAGGATGCTCCGAATACTGTTCGACAACAGAAGATAGAAACGGTAAAAAGCTAAGTTGGTGTGAGAGGAGCACTGGACCTGACTGTTGGGAAAAGTGTCAGAGCAAGTTCATCACAACTAATCCAGTTAGCAAAAAGATTCATCTTTTTACAAACATTACATAGACTTGAACACGAGGAGAAGAGGTTCTAGAACTCAGATAATTCCATGCAAAATATGTTTACATACAGGTGAAACTTGGATAATGACAGTGACAATGATGATGATAATAATAATAATCATACATTGGTTTAATATATCGCTTTTTTTGGACTCATCGATGATTCAGATGGCAGTATTCATTAACAATACAGCATGGTGATAAACTACAACAGTAGCCACAGATGCCCTGGGGCACACTGACTGAAGGAAGGCAATTAGTCTGTGTCATCAGCCCCTCGCACCACCACCAACCATTCACACACACACCCACACACACACACATACCAGACTCATTCTAATGTGGCTGAAGTGTCTTGTCTAAGAACACAACAGTTTGATAATTCACAGCTGCAGCCGTCCCACTGTGGCTCCTAGTGTTATCAGAGGTCTCCCATCACAGAACTGACCAGGCCCTGCCCTGCTTAGCTTCAGAGGTCTGAGGAAATCTGGCTTTCACATGCAGGTGGAACAATTCAACTTGTAATGTGAAACCAATGAATGACAAAGACTCAATACCACTTATTCTAATTTTCTGAGGTGTTTGATTTTGGGTTTTTATAACATCATAACAATTATTAATTTTAACATCAGAACAAATAAATGTCTCATATCTCAATTATAGGCTTGATATGTCTCACTTTTCATGCATTAGTTTCACATTGTAAGAACAAAAGTAAATGGACGTCTTAATAATTTTCTGATTTCTTAAAGGTGGAGTCGAATAATTCTGTTTCAGTTAAAGAGCAGGAGCCATCTTTGTGTGGGTCTAATGTATAAAAGAAGTCACAGATTCACTGACCTTTTGGGTTCTGATCGATTCATGGGAAGAATAATCCGACACTCATCGATCAAAAAAGGCCTTAATTAAAGGTGATGTCTGCAACTTCAATGTATTTCATTTTTATAGTTATTTTGACATTGTTTTAACCATAGGACCCAGTAGAATCTGTAAGTATGTTTTAAAGTTATAGATTTTAGATTTATTTCAAACCTGCAGAAGAAAATGTCACATATCTTTACACTAACACAACACATCCTACTGTTCTGTAACTGGCGATGCAACACTGAAATGTCTCCACTGTGGGACAAATAAGGGGTCGCTTAATCTGAACCACCACTTGTAATGTTTACAGTGAGACCAATGGCCTCAGCTCTAAAAAGCATTTGAATTCATTGCGTCCAATCAGGAGGCTGTGGAGGCGGGTCTAACCGACGGGTCTGTCCAATCATCGCGGTCCTCCTTCACTCACCCACGTCATGTGATGGCACAGCGGGGGTCTCCGGGGGCCGGGGGGTCCGGGTTCAGCACCGGGTGAGGCGCTCCGAGCGGCGAGCCAAATGCAGCGTGGCTCCACACCGCTACAGTCCACTCCCACCGAGCGCTGGAACCTCCACTGGGGCTCCGGGGCGGCTGCGGCCAAGTCTCCCCCAAGCATGGCCCCTACGCATCGGCCCGTCACGGTGACTGATTATGACGGACGATATATCGCTTCAGAAAATGACTGCGATAAGCGATAATCTTGAAACTACTTTAAGCTCAATTCTTTCAATGTGTCTGTGTCATTAGAAAACAGGCGAGAAAAATAACAATAGAATTATGTCGTTTTTAGTCTCATTGTCTTCACTTTTACAAAAAACAAATGTACAGACAATGATTATCGTGGCCCAGATAACACTGTTTTACCCTCAGTTATTAAAATTTAAGTCTGTATGGTGATTTTAGTGACAGGCCTAAGCTCTCACACTTCCCCCACACCTGCAGCAGCTCAAATCCAGCCTGGACTCCGAACAAATGATGCCATCCTTAAATATAACAGTCAGTTTACATCCTCTCCTTATCCACAGCCGGTTGAGGACTTCATCTTCTGTCTTTAAAAGCAGACACGACCATGAAGGAAGTAGAAGTAAGTACGTTTCTCCTTTAAATCGTTTCAAATCACTTTCAAAACATGGCTGGCTTGACCTCGCAGCAGTCTTTGGGAATCCCGCGTGTTCGGATTCAACAGGAACATTTCAAATCACCACTGAACTCGTGATCGTTCCGGTCCAGCGGCCGATGAGATGCCCGCGGTACACTCCAGCGACTGTTGGGTCTTCACGCACCTTGAGCACGAGTCAGTGGAGATGGAGGATGCTGTTATTGGTGGGAGTTGTGGATGGACCGCTGAACCGGACCGCCCCGGTGCTTCTCTGCTTCTTTCTTGGTTTCAGAGCATGCTCGGTCTCCTCGGGGTCTCTGTCCTGACGTCGCTCTCTCTCTTTCTCTTTCTCTCTCTCTGTTGATTCTTTCATTGCTCACACTGTTCAGTTCTCACCAGAGCAGAGCCTGTCACCTTCACTAACAATCAGCCAAATGCCACGGCTGAGGGAAGTTCTCCACTTTATCACAGTAAGCATCCATTAGCCCTCGGCCGGTCAGAAAACAAACAATAAAGAAGAGGGAAAAGCCGTGTTTGCACTGCTGTAAACATGGTTATTCTCTGCTGCTGCACATTCTGACTGGATGTAAGAGAACATAGATGCTGTGTTGGGGTAAAAATAAGCACTCTGACTCACATCTCTTCTGCCCTGATTCTTCCTTCTCCCTGTGCTCAGGGCCACCACATGACCACATGGCCACTGCACACACATCGGCACGTCATCGAAAAACACTTGTTTCAGCTCAATGGTCATTATTCAGTGATGTGCCATGTTTGCTCCATTTAATAACATTCTAAAGCTGAAAGTGTAAAGCCACATGTAAATCTAAGCAGTTACTCTTACAATTCATTGGTAAACTACAAAAGTATGTGACTATTGTTATTATTATTTTTGAGGGTTCTCAAAATCCTCCGACAGAAAGTCCCAAACCATCGAATGTGTGAACATTTGCTGATTCTTAGGGAAACAGAGAGAACGTCCTATTTTTAGTCAACTGTGAAGATGGAGCTAAAAATATACACAGCCTCAGTGTGTTCTGAGCAATGAGCCCGATCTTCTTTTGGCAAAGATGAGTTTGAGCCAAAGCTGCGTCATAGAACACAGAGTGTATCAAACCAAAGCAGGAACAAGACATGCAGCTCTGACAGAGAGGATCATGGTCCAGTAATACTTCTAATATAATATAATAATAATATATTTAAACCATAAGTCATACTAATAACACTAGTTATGAAACAGTCCATGGCAGGACCACATGGTCCATCAGTGACACACTTCCCATTAACAAAGTTATTCTCAAGACACAAAGTGAGGAAATAAAGAACTATTACAGTATATCATGTCTCTGTTTCCAATTAAATGAAGCTGAAGTATGTGAAACCCGTGTTCCTTCACAGAAGTAAAGCCAGAGTCACTTGTGGCCACACCTGTGGCGGTGGATGTGAAGGTTGATGGTTGTGTTGAAGGCAGCAGAGCCTCATAATGGTCACTCTGTGGTGAGTGCGTGTGGGTTCCAGCTTGGAGGTCCATGCATTCCAGCCTCAATTCTCATTGTCTGAGTGCCCAGTGCCCACTCAGCCGCACCCCTCTGCCACTACAGAGCAGTGATTCTGCCATGGGCCCAGATCTTGCGGATCCTGCTGATGTAAGGAATGCAACCATGTGGGCTGCTCCAAGACACGCCTTTCCCACCGCTCTCACAACACTGGGATCAGACATGTTTACTACAGCACTGATACAAGTATGAAATATGGTTATTTAAAGTAAAAGCAAACAAGAGAGAAGATAATTAATTTAAGCCGACACAACAAAACCACTACTGTACCAGTTAAAGATACTATGTTCCATGTTCCATGTTCGTGTCAAACGTAAACGTCCTGACTCAGAGCTGGAAACATCATCTGGATAAACACAATGAAACCCTCGGTGCGTGGAACACTTACTTCGGGAGGGATCCCAACAAGACAAAAAACAATTCCATCTCCACTCATTGGATTCGCAGCAGTGGAGCAGAGTCCTAAAAGAACCGGAGCATTGTCCCGGAGTCTGGACGTCCTGAGGTTCGCACAGACCGCTCACCTCCGCACAGCGCGCCGCGTCAGTGCGTCTCTGCGCCTCATCCGCGTCATGACGCTTTGTCTCCACATTGCACCAGGAGCAGGGGGCGATGGGGACGACCCTCCCGGAGGAAAAGGGAAGAAGTACGTTTTAAAGCTTCTCTCTTCACTTCTCCACATGGACAATAACAAGGTTTATAACCCACTGTTCATGTTTCACTGATGCCTTTGTCCCAAAGAACAGTGCGCTCTGGTCACGTGACCCGCGTGTCTTAAAGAGGGGTGTTTAAAGTAAACAACACACATTAGGACCAGCACTGCATAAATTAATCTGTCTGTGACGCCACAGCAGGGGGCAGCCATCACTCTCCAAAACACAACAAAACACACACAGGGGCCTCTCATGGATCTGTCATTTCAGCGTCTCTGCCTCATGCACTTGTCCATCTCCAGTATCCTCTTAGTATAGTAGTATGTGTAGTATAGTATAGTATAGTATTGTATCGTATGGTATTGTATTCAATAGCATAGAATAGTACAGTAAGTACAGTATAGTCTAGTATAGTAGTATAGTATAGAAGAGTACATTAGATACAGTATAGTGTAGTATAGTACAGTATAGTAGAACTGAATGTAAATGCTTCAGATAATGATGAAATTTGGCTCTTGAAGCTGAATAACTGAGGAAAAGCTGAGGGCTGTGGACGGGGACAGATTTCTGTGTTTGTGAAGAGAGGGATCTTTGATTTTGGGATTAAAAGTCTTAAACTGTCAAACATCTGCCAGTGTGCAGCAGAGGGCATTTGCTGTGCGCATGTGGGGGAGGCTGCACTTGCTTTTCTGTCTATTTACGGCAGTACAGAGATTTGCCTAATCCATGTAATCTGCTGGAACCTGCAGAGACACGGCCAGACACTAGAGGGAGATGCAGAGACTTTTGACACTCACAAAGCATGAGAACATTTATATTTACATTTTATACATTTTCATTTATTTCACTTCACAGCAGTGTCCTTCCAGAAGTTTGCACGTTTTCTCTCCAAGTCTGGGTGGGTTTCCTCGGTGCACTCTGGCTTCTTCGTTCACAAAAAGCATGCACCACAGGTAAAATCCTCCTGCAAAGGGTCTGACCAGGCCGAGCATCAACACCTGGAGAAACCCCTGCTCCTGGCGGTCCTGCCTAGTGGCATGGGTTAAATGTAGAAGGCAAATTTTCCCATTTGGATCATGAAGGAATCTATAATCTAATGAAAACAAGGAACTAATCAGGCAAACTAAACAAGAAAATCTTAATTAAAAGGCATTTATTTACATGTTTTGACCTCAGTCCCTAATGAAGGCAGACTGAGGTCCAAACGGCTCATTTACCCATAGTCCCTGAAGAGTACCATCAGTGATATTGAGGTGGGTTTGGGAGAGTTTTCAAGAGCAGTGTGGAAAAGGACGTGGAGCCCAGGACTTTAGCGATTGTCACAGTTCGGCCTCAGTCCCCAGAGCGTTACACAACTGCCCACATGTTCACACACAGCTCTGCCACACAAGACTCAGGAGCCAAAGACCCAGACTCGCACAGAGCTGGAGCCCAGGCCAAACTGTCCTATTTAAAGCACAAACAAGCAGAGCAGAAAATGGCACACACATCTCTCCAGTGTCGCACATGGGGCTAAATGTGGTGATGTCACACAACGCTCACGACAATTGGCTGCTTGTTTAAAAAGCCTTTTCTGAGCCTAAACCTAAAGAAAGACTAAACTAAAGCGGCTCCACTCAGTTCATCGTTCGGAAAAAGACAGAATCAGTCCCAAAGATCCTTCAGCTCCAACAACACACTGGTTCTCTGGGCACCCCCCTAACATCAGCACGGTGTCTGAGTGGTTAGCCCTCTCGCTTCCCAGCAAGAAGGACCTGGGTTCAAATCCCCGTGGGAACAGAGTCTGCGTGGGTTTCCTCCGGGTGCTCCGGTTTCCCCTACCATTGAAAACATGCACGATAGGTCTGAATGTAAAGAGTGAGTGGATGGTGTTTGGTCGGAGGCTTTGATGGACCAGTGTGTTCTGGACTCGCTTCTGTCATCACTGTGTGGAGAGAACGGAACAATATCTTACTCTGAACATTGTAAAGCGCTTTGGGTGACCTTGGTCTGTAAAATGTGCTATATAAATAAACCTGACTTACTACTTACTACTACTTTTTTCAGAAGACGAACTTCAATGGTTTATTTTATTAAATGTTTTACTTGTTTTCTGCTTTTTACAGAAATCCTTTGCCCCACAGTCAGGTGCAGTTCATCTCAGAACCTCTATCATCTGTCAGAACCGGGTTATGATCCGTTAAACCAGGGTTCATACTCTTGGGGATCTGTCCTCTGTGGCTCCTCTGCCTTTAGCTCTGACTGACTATATATATATTTTTTTTTTCTAATTTCAGTTTCAGTTTATTTATTATTATGACAGACGTAAAAAAAAAACGTGTGCGCCCATTGCATGTTCATGATACAATACAAGTTACCAGAACATATTTCAATAAATTAACATTTTTTAGTTACAAGTTTAACAAAATCAATCAGTACAAATCCCTCCAGGATCGACTGTGAACGTTTTTTCTTAAATACAAAAAAAGAATGACATGTTTTCATCTTTCTGCTGAAGCCAATGAAACGACACATCTCTGAGTCCGTCATTTTCTAACGTTTGCTAAAACTTACTGTCATCTCTTCAACTACATCTGTGAGACAGGCCTCCTCTCTGACAATGTTTAAAACCAGGTTAAAGACGGTTCTGTTTAGCTGTGCTACAACTGAGGGATTTTATATTTTTATATATATATATATTTTTTTTTATGTACTGTGATTATTTATGATTTTAATGCTTTCTTGTTTTGTTCATCACTTTGAATTGCCTTGTGTATGAATTGTGCTATACAAATAAACTTGCCTTGCCTTGCCTTACATCTAGTTTTTTGAAGTTGAAAATACTTTTGAGCACCTTCTGAAGCACATTTGTTTTACCCTTAAACATGATTTGAAGTTATTTATAGTTAACAATGTCTTTACATGTCATCATATTTGTTTTTAGAAATAATGGATTTGTTTGATCATAATATCCTGCTGTATTTATCAGGCGAGTGGAACGTTTTTATAATAACATGATTGCATCCACATTTCTAAAAGCATTCAAGACAGACGAGAAAAAGAGTCAGGCGTTTTTGATGATTTCCCTGACTTTCAAGACTTAATAGTTACCTATGTAACTTAAGTTCTACGAATAGGTGCGTAGTCTCTTTCACTAGCATAGTCCTAAGGGACGTAGCACCATGACGTAGAACCACAGATTATTGAGTGCTGTGACTATGAAAAACATGAAACCGGATTCTGAAAGATTGGACCGTCTACTTTCAACTTCAAAAATACGTATCTAGCTAGTTTTGTTCTGCTGTAATCTTCAGTCGAATATAGAGTGTGTTTGACAGAAATCACCAGTCTCAGCCAAATACGTCCGTGGCAGTCAATGAGTGTTAATAAGCAGGGACTTTACAAACGCAGAAGTATAACCGTATTCTCTGCCCTGAAAAGACAAATACAAATCTATTCTTTGTGTCACAGAGCGTCTCTGTCCCATGAAGCAGCTCAGTTCTCTGTGAGGAGCTTTATCAACGTAGAGAAAGAACCAACTCGCACAAAGATCTCGCTGACACCGCCCTGTCTCTGCTCAGCGTCTTCTGTTTAACCCAAACCTGGGAAATAACCCATTTATTCTACTTTGAGAGTTCCCTTTCTTGTCCTGTTATGATTATATTTAATGTGGGGAAAAATAGTCTTGACCTAAAATGATAAAACACTGTCATTATTTTTGTGGTAATGTCAAAAAGTAGGATTACACTGTTACAATAAGTAGCTTTACATGTTATCTGGAAAAAATACTTTAGCATTTAACCATTATTCATACTTATTGATGTATTATTATAGAATTTTTATTTATTGCCTTGAGAAATCTATATTTTAGTTGTGTCCGCTGACTTTTCTCTGACTTTTTAAATACTTGACTAACAACACTTTAAGGTTTAAAATGTCACAATTATTTATTATTATTATATTGTGAAAGAAAATCATCACAGTCACCTCATGATTCGAGAACAATTTAAAAAGTACAGTATTTTCTGGACTAATAAGAGTAAATGAACCAAAGCAGCTAAATCTGAAAAGAAAATACATTTTGTCCACAAATAGGCCGCACTAGAATACAAGCCGCAGATAGAGACTGTTTTAACGTGATTTAACGATGAGGAGTTTTATCACAATGTCAACGTGAGGATCAAAGAACTCTAAATTCTCTCTATTTTGACAATAAACATGTGTCCCTTAAATAGAATAATACATCCATAAAATGTATCTCCCTAAACATGTCCAGTGTGATTCTCTGCTCTTCCTCATGTCTGCTCTTCTCTGCTGTTCACATAAACACACAAGAAGCAGGAATGTGTCCTCAACAGCTGATAGAGCCGTGTCCAATTCTAGTTTTAACAAAATAAAAAATAGGCTGCATCACTATAGCAGCCGCAGAGTTTAAAGAACCCAAGACCCATCCCAGTAAACCTGCAGAATTTAATTAATGAAAAATATGAGCTTTATTGAGATTTAACATTGGCGTAAACTGATCGATCACACGTCCTGGAACTAAACTGAAATTGCACTTGGAAGCATCACGGAGAAACACAGAAGTTGGCTCTCCCTGACAGCACATGGATGTATCTGTGTTTCAGACTCATTTTTGATAATAACGTTATAAGAAGAGAGTTCAGTTTCATTCCCTGAGCCTGAAATGATGATAAAAGCGTCGGGGGGAATCTGTGAAGAGTTAATCCATGGGCAGCATTGTGTCTCCTAAAGTGTTATAGTGAAATAGATCCCCCACACACCCCACCTCCTTCCAGTTTGTGGCAGGATATCCTCTCATTCACCAGCTTTGCCACAGAAAAACCCCTCAGTCACACATCCACAGCCTACTGCCTTTTCTCTGCTAAACCACAGAAGCTTTTGACAGAATATAGACAGACATAAACACAGCACCACAACCACAGAGAGCATGAGATGTGTGGAGAGGGTCACCTGCTTCATGATGCTCAGGACCAGTGCATGGCTCCTCTGCCCCGGCCTGGACCCCAGCCTGGATCCCGGTGCTCTCCCGGTGCCCTGGTCCTCGGTCCAGCTCTCTCCTGTCTGTGTCCTGGCCTGTGAGGACTGGGCTCGTGTGCTGAATGAACGTGAGGCTGCTCTAATCTGCTCTGTGCGCTGTGCGAGGCATTAGAGGCAGAGGGAGGCAGGATCAGAGCTGGTCATGTGACCTGCTGTAGTACAATCAGCAGCTGTCGTTTCCAAACACTCCTGATCCAGGCTCCAGTGATTCCTCAGTGAGTCCTCCAAACCTTTGTCTACGTTGCCTTGAAATAAGAAGGAAAAACCAGAGGGATTTCAGTTTGGATTTGAACGTACGCCCCACCTCCCCTTCATCCAACCTATACAGAAGTGAAATTACCCTTAGACAATTCACTTATCTGATGAAATGATATGCACTTAACACTTGTGCTACCATTGGGTTAACATTACCCACCACAGATTATTAAAAGTAGAAGACAAATATCTTGATAAGGGTCTATAAGGGTTGAGTCGGGGCCGGTCAAGGTAGGAAATATCATCAAAAATCTGCTTAATTATTTTTATTTTAGGTATTTTTGGCTCACTGTGTCGGGTAAATGTAACCAGAGGATAGCACAAGGGTTAAATCATAGATACTAGTGTTAAAAATGCCCCAGAGACTCTACTAAGCATTAGCAAGACATGAAACTCACTGAAGGGATTTCTTTATTCTGAGGTTTCTCATGTGAGGCTCATTCTGCATTCTGATTGGATGCTTAACTGGAGATATTTTAGCATCATGGCCCTTGTTTTTTAAAGAATAAATTGGGTAAAGCTTTGATCAGAAAAGACCATATTTATCCATAAGTTTACATAACGTCTTACATACAGTGCCATTCACACTAAACATAAATGTTGGCCTCCCACTGAGCTCCTGCCACGGCCAATAGTGACACATGTTTGATCCGCTCTCATCTTTGAAAAGTGGCTTGAACATTAGGACATACTGCTCCTCAACTAAACCCTGCCAAGGTGAATGCTTGTTTGTGTGTTTAGCTTTCAGGAGAAAACATATGGGCATTATTTACAACACAGAATCGGTGGCACAGCTTCAACAAGCGATGCCTCCCCAGGGACAGAGGAGAGAGAGTGGGGTGGAAAGGCCCAGGCGTGGTCCCAGCGCTGCATGGGTGTGTGAGCGCTTCCTGTTGTTGTGGCTCCACAGGATGTCCTTTTCCTCATTCCAATTCTCACCTCATGTACGGGCCTTGAACCTCTCCTGCATCAAATATTCATAATCACATCACATTACACAACTGCAAACAACTAAACAACCACTTTCAAAAGCAAGTGTGTGTGTTGTATGTGTGTGTTGTATGTGTGTACTGTGTGTGTGTACTGTATGTGTGTGTTGTATGTGTACTGTATGTGTGTGTTGTATGTGTGTGTTGTATGTGTCCGGTATGTGTGTGTTGTATGTGTGTACTGTGTGTGTACTGTATGTGTGTACTGTGTGTGTGCTGTATGTGTGTACTGTGTGTGTGCTGTATGTGTGTACTGTGTGTGTGCTGTATGTGTGCTGTATGTGTGTACTGTGTGTGTGCTGTATGTGTATACTGTGTGTGTGCTGTATGTGTGTACTGTGTGTGTACTGTATGTGTGTACTGTGTGTGTGCTGTATGTGTGTACTGTGTGTGTGCTGTATGTGTGTACTGTGTGTGTGCTGTATGTGTACTGTGTGTGTGCTGTATGTGTGTACTGTGTGTGTGCTGTATGTGTATACTGTGTGTGTGCTGTATGTGTGTACTGTGTGTGTACTGTGTGTGTGCTGTATGTGTACTGTGTGTGTACTGTATGTGTGTACTGTGTGTGTGTGTTGTATGTGTGTACTGTGTGTGTGCTGTATGTGTGTACTGTGTGTGTGCTGTATGTGTACTGTGTGTACTGTATGTGTGTACTGTATGTGTGTACTACTACTGTATGTGTGTACTGTGTGTGTACTGTATGTGTGTACTACTACTGTATGTGTGTACTGTGTGTGTACTGTATGTGTGTGTTGTTGTTGTGGCAGTGTGTATCCACGTTCCCCAAAATCTGCATGTCAACTCTTCTCAGGCCCTTTCGAGGCCATTTCTCCCAGGGGCCCATGATGTTACATTGGCCCTAACATTGGAATTAACGACGGCAGTGTTCCCCAAACTCTTTGCTCCGTGGCACAGCATTTTAATTTTAAAAACTCTCTTGACTTTATCAGCGATGCAAAGTCATTCTCCTCTAAGTGTATTAAAAAGTCCAGCACACTGTTATACACAGCACTGACCAGAGGAGGGCGCTGCAGGGTCCACTCTGTGCGAGGCTCAAAAACATGGGATGGAAAATGTAGTTACTTGCAGGATAAAAAAAATGATTAAGATTTAATTAAAAGTGTTGATATTGTATCAAACATGACAAACCAATGATTATTATGAAATGATCCATCAATAATTAATTTAAAACAATATGTCCTGTTTGGAGCTAAGCCTTGTTGGATGGGAACGACTGAAAAACCTTTACATCAATGAATTCCATTTGAAAACTCATCAGACTTATTTAAAGAACGCAGTGAAGCTGAATGTTTTAGCAAGTGGCTTTTGTGAGGAGTCCAGCCTCACATTCAGACAGTGACAAAGAGAATCAGATCGACTCCAGGATCCTCTTGTGTGACCATAAACTGTATATATCCTTTTATAATCTATATGTGCGGCAGAAATACCATCTCTAAGGAAGCACCACAAATAGATCATTCTTGAAGATACTCATATAGAATAACATTTCATTTGTAAAGGCTGTTTGTCCTGTTGTAGAGACGATGAGAGTCAATAAAAGAACATGCTTTTCTGTTCAGATCATACACATAACATTCAAAGGTAAATATGACTTACATTGTCCAAGGAGTTTTACTAACATTCTAACGTTATTGTTAATTTTCATTTGCAAATTCACAAGGATTTTTATTTTATTTCTTTGATCATTTGAATTCACAGCATTACAGTCATAGATCAATAATTACTGTACACAAACAATTCCGATGGAAATTATCAAATCGTGTGAACTTTGGTGCCTTCATTTCCGGATGTCTCTTCGGCCACTGGAGGGCAGTAGTCTGCATCAGTCTGCATCGGTCTGCATCGGTCTGCATCGGTCCTGTCTGAACCCGGAAGAAGGACGGTGGCTTTGTTGTGGCTGTTGCCAACTGCTCACATTCTGATTAAAAACATCGTCTGAGCTGAAGAGGCAACGAGCGAGGGTTTCATCCTGTGCATCAGGCTCACAGCTCCGTGTTGGGACCAGACAGACAACCATAAAGACAACCATAACGAGAACCAGCAGAACCACCACCAGAACCAGCAGAACCAGCAGCAGTAGCGGCTCTCAGCTCCTTCTACCACAGATCTGTGTGAACACTCTGGGATTAAAAAGGTACATTTGGGGGTTTTTTGTGAAACAAAAATCGAGTTATTGTTTGTTATGGACATTACTGCTGCTTGTTCTCACTGCAAGAGCTATTACTATAGCCCCGTTTCCACCAGCCCTAGACCCTACTCAACCTGAGGTTTCCACCGGGCCTGTTTAACCAGTACCAGGTGCTTGTCTAGTCCCGCTTGGTCCGGGTCTACCCAGGCCGAGCTGGTTCTAAAGTGTTCTAACCATGGATCTATTGGGTTCAAACTATCAGAGATTCGCCACCGTGTTGCTAGAAACCATGGTTACCAAGGAAATTCCACGGATACTGGTTTGTTGTGGGTAGGTTGCTAGGATACGATGTCAGTTACTAAAGTGTAACGGAAACACAGAATAGGACTGTTGGAAACGGGGCTTTAGAGCTGCCTTTTTAATAGTACTAAGGTTATCTGTAACTTGCTCTGTGATAAACAGGAGTCACTAATGACTGTGTGCTTTTTGTTGATGAAAGTTAAATCAGACCTGTGGAAAAGCCGTGAGGACGCCCTCTGCAGGATGAGCAGTGAAGTGAAGATGGAGCTGCTCCGTGCTCTGGTCACTGAGTGTCTGACCACTGCAGCAGAGGAGATCCTGCGCCTGGTGCACAGAACCCTGGTGCAGGAGGCTCAGGCCTGTTCTCAGTGGAGGGTGAACGATCAGCCTCTGGAGGCTGAGCACAGAGGTAAAGAGTGCAATCTGTGTGTGGCTGCCTTGTAATGCTACCCCCATTCATCTCATTTGATTTTCTTAATGTACTTTAGATCCAGAGCCTGTCAGACCTCAGTCCGATGTGGAAGATCCAAACATGTGTTGGAAGGTTAAAATAGAGGAAGAAGTTGAAGTTCCTATCGATGCACTCCAAAAAGAAGATCAGAAATCGAGCCTCTCTGAGCCCCACAGCAGCGTTGATGCAGGCCCTGCACACACAGACTGTGGAGGAGACTGGAGGGAGGTGCCCATCTCTCACGGACCCGTAGCGTCTCAGTCTCCACAGCCAATATGTCTCTTCAGAGTTCAGACAGTCCCTCCACAATGCAGAAAACCTACTTTGGTGAGCAAAAACTCCATCACAGCTCCCAGTGCGAGGTCCAACCAGCCGTCAAGTCATTCACAGAATGTGCCAAAAAACATTAGTTATCTTCGAGCAGGCACAGAGCTGAAACCCTTCAAGTGCCCCTGCTGCCCCAGGGCCTTCTCTCTGACCAAGACTCTGATCCGCCACATGAAGGTGCATGCAGAGTCGTACCAGTGCAGCATGTGCGGGAAGTGCTTCTGTCAGAAGTCTCACCTGGAGAGCCACATGCGTGTGCACACGGGAGAGAAGCCCTTCTGCTGCCAGCTCTGCCCCGAGTCCTTCTCATACAAGAAGAGTTTGATCAAGCACATGGCTAAGGGACATCTGGTTGGGATGAACCCGCTGGCCGGAATGTCCATCGATCTAAACGAATGACAGCACCAGTGCATCCGCGGAATTAGCTGATAATAGATTTTGGATTCAACTTGTTGCATGTTTAATTTTTCTATTTTCTCTACACATATTCTTAGATCACAGGCCAATACTCCAGACCCGATGTCCTTTTTGACCAGACTGGATGTAGTAACAACATCTGAAAACCTTTCCTTCTAAATGATATGCAGATATGACTTGTTTGAACTTTAACACGAATAACCAAAATGTCAACAAAATGTATTTATTTGAATAATGCCAAACGCTGCTGTGTCTAAAGTGTGTAAAATGTTATTGTCAAATGTCAGGCGTGAGCAGGTGTGTGTCAACGCCCTCCTCCAGCACTGTGACAGCCTCCTGGCTCCAGAGGACGTCCACAGTCTCCTACAAACAAAGGACTGTATCATGATGAATCTGAGGACATATATTATTGTAAAATACAGTATAATATGCAACAGCTCCGTCCTAGTCTGGTTCAGGGGAAAGTGTTCAGAGTGAGCTGTGTCTGACCTGAGCTCCCAGCAGAGTGTCCTCCTGCCCTGGGCTCAGCAGAGCCTGGTACATCTGGTACTTCTGAAACAAACTGGAATAATGGAAGAGCTGACGTTAGTAGAATATAATATCTAATAACTCCCAGCCATAACTTGCTTATTCTAGCCCAGAGTGTGAAACTCAGTTTTGCCATGGACAGAATCTAAAAAATTATATTTGATCAAGCGCCAAATGAAAGTGGTTTTCTTTGTGGAAAGTTAAACATTTTTACTATTTATTTTTCCTCATGAAGGAAATGAGGACGAATCAGATTAGAGCGTTGGATTAAATAATACTTGTATACAACACGAATTTGGATCATTTCTGGAATTTATTTCTGAACAAAAGTAATTGTTAGCGTTTGAAGAAGACTCGAAATCGTAGAATGATTTGCAAATGTTTTTATTTTCTATTTAACTAATTTATCTAATTATGTGTTGGGTCAAATGATACAATAAATTACATGACTTGGTTGTTGTCTTGAGAGCATTTGTTGTAAAATGAGGTATAACATGCCATGAGCCATAATAACATCAATGCTGCAAGTGAATCATAAAAATTTCTAACAATGGTCTCAGACTTTGTGTTGGAGTTGGTTTACACATTCTCAGCTTTAGAAATATTCATATCGTGATAATCCAGCTTCCTTGTAATGTGTGTATGAAGCTGCAGTCGATACAAACCTTTCTCTGGTGAATGTGACGAGGCCCCGAGCCTCCTCTGGGCTCAGCAGAGCAGGGGGCCCCTCTTCAGTCGGGGGGTCCTGACAGGCTGCAGCTAATGCTTTAGCAAACTCCACCACGTTGTTCACAAAGTCCAAGCCCTTCTCTGTTCAATACAAACTGTTATGTCCAAACATCATGATTTTTATATGTATTATTTATTCCAAGCTCTCCAGCAGAAGCCGCTTCTACTGTGTGGCCGCTCAGAGCAGAGGGTCAGAGCAGTTTCTGACCTGTGAGAGCAGTTTCTGACCTGTGACATTGTGAAGCAGCAAATCCAGCACGGCCAGAGTGAAGGACGTCTGCAGAGGAGTGAGCTGAGCCTCCTGGGCCCAGCTCAGACCCTGGACGTAGTACTGCAGCAGCGCCGCCTCCTTCATACACACCTCAGAGTGGGACAGGTGCAGCTTCTCTGACAGATGTCTGTGGACGCACACTATGTCTCACTGCACACTACACACACTGTATATCGTCACTACACACTACACACACTGTATATCGTCACTACACACTACGCACACTGTATATCGTCACTACACACTACACACACTGTATATCGTCACTACACACACTGTATATCGTCACTACACACTGATCTGAATCTTGATGCACACTTTTCCAACGCACAAAGGGCTTTTAGGTGACTCTCAGCTAAATAAAACTTATATTAAACACATGTCCTGATCTAACAATTAGATGGTTGATTGACATGTGCTGTTGTGGTTTTCTTTTTCTAATGCCATGATGATAAAAATGGGTGCTTCACAGATTCCATGGTGGTCCTACAGTACATAAGGAGGAGTCTGACCCCAGTGGGTAACGAGGGCGAGGGGTGACTGTTGTAAAACCTTCAGCACCATAACCCACGGAGCCATACAGAGCCCATGATGCTTGATTCTGGGTCTTGTTATAAATCCTAAAGTTCAATCAGTTTAAATAAATAATCTACGTTTAACCATTGGGAGAACACATTGCTCCATGTCACACCCGGTGACATGGAGCAGTGACCCCGGGTAGATGAAGAGTAGAACATGCAGTAAAGTGACAGAGATTCTTCCTCACATGTGCAGGTCCTCCTCGCTCTTCTTCCTCAGGGCGTCTTCCAGCTCCTGCAGCGTCATCACGTCCCATGTGAGGAACGCAGCGGCCTCTTCTTTCTAGGCAAAGTCACAACATGATTCTGTTTTCATTCACACGTGCAAAAGAAGCAGAAACACGGCTTACATTCACATTAGAATCGCTTTCTCTCGGCTGTTTGTTTGCAGCGCGCCTCCCCGCAGCCGCCATATTGTGTACCGTGTGTTTCCATGACAACCTGCGTCAATCATCACCTGTGAAAGAACTTCGGCATGATTATAAGAAAGTGAAAGAGTCAAAGCCATTTTAAAAAACATAAATACGTACACCATGAATTTATTTTGGTGTGAATTATAGCAGCGTGTAAGTATTTCTTATAAAATTATTAAAAATGTCGTTGAATGTTGAGCATACTTTAAGGTATATTGGAGGATGTTCTACTTCCGGGTGGATCATCAAGACTACTGGTCCTCCTAATTGTCAATCATTCTGGTGATTCGTGTTCAACAGATAAGACCAGAGAGTTTGGTTCAAAAAGTGGATCTTTCCCAATTTTTTAGAAAATCCTCCTATGCACCTTTAAAACAGAAGCGTGGGACTCACAGATGAAAGCAGTTCGTTTTAGGCGTTACCACATACAGATGAGAGCAGCTAAAATGAGAATAGATAACAGCTAGTTCCTTTTTAATTTGTGAGGTTTGCAGGATTTATCATTACGGATATTATATAATTATTATATATTTATTTTTTATTTTTCTTGTTCTCCTTTAGTACAGTGTGCGTGTGAATTAAGTGTCTTCTGCCAAACGATCTCGCTCGGTGACGTCATAGTGCCGCACGTGCCGCGTGGGTGATGCTACGTCACACGACCCCAGAGCAGAGAGAGCGGTGGTGCTGTCAGAGAGAAGGAGAAGGAGCGAAGGAGCGCAGTCTGTCTCCGCGTCTCCAGAGCAGAGCAGCCGCAGGTAAGACCATCATCAGTGTTTGGCTTTTCAGAATGAGAGAATCTGGGCTCTGGGAAAATGAAAATGGAAAGAAATAAAAATGCATGTGACGTTTCATCCCTGGTTATGTTTTTATCAAGTGTTAGTAACAGTCACACACTTTACACTCACAGATCAATGATGTTGAAGTTGCTCCAATTAGCTCAAGCTTCAAACATAGCAGCACAATTACTATGTTTTGTGGTTTTATTGAATGTGTTTTGCGTTCAGGATGGAGACAGTGGGACGCCCAGGCCACTCTTGGATGTTCCAGGACCCTCTCGTTTCCCAGAGCTGAACTAACCCCAAAACACAGATGGTGAGTGCAGGGAGGGCGCTCTTCTCTTTTCTCATTCTATCCGTCCTACAATGTGTGACTTCGCCTTTGTCAAACTTTTCAATTGCCAAAACAGCATTACAGGGTGAAGACTGATGACTGTGAGAGGCCCCTACTGTAGAGCCTTCTTGACTCTGCATGTTCAGTGGGGGAGGACACGGACCAATCTCTTAAGCTAACTCCAGCCTCCAGATTGTCAGGATTCACAAACTGAGAGTACATTGGTGTTAGCTTTCTGTCCTGAACCTTAAAGGTATATACAGTATAGGAGGTTTTTCTATTTCCTGGTGGATCATCAAGACTATTGGTCCTCCCAGTTGTCAATCATTCTGGTGATACGTGCTCCTGGAATAAGACCAGAGGGACTAAATTTGGGAAAATCCTCTGATATACCTTTAATAAGTAAACAATTGAAGCATGTTCCGTGCTTGTTATGATGCTAAAGTCAGGGGTCTTAATTCTTGCTTCTTCATCATGCTAACGTTGGAGATTTTAAGACGACTTCTTTCCTTTTTATGCTAAAGTTTGAGATTTCTTTTTTTAGTATCGAGTTATTATTCATTTATCTTGTGCTGTGTGCTCCTCATTCCTTCTGTTCTATAACTGCTGAGGCAACACTGAAATTTCCCCACTGTGGGACGAATTGAGAATCTCTTAATCTGTTTTATTTTGTTATTTTTTTTATTTCAGAAGGCTTAAAAAACGATAGGACTTTAAAAAGCAAGACGAAAAACGAATACAATCAAAGACAAAGCTAAACGGACAAAATCAAAAGGCAAAAAGCTAAACGGACAGAATCAAAGACATAAAACAGAATCGCTTAATCCCTCATCACTCTACAGGCTTGTACCTATGATTATTAACAAGAAGAAGAAGAAGAAGGAAAAGTCACCCCTCTGCCATTTGTGTATTATTTATGAAGAAATGGCGGCAGCCGGAGCAGTGGGGGATCTGAGAGTTAGAGTCAGTCATGAATAGACAGAGGTTCAGTCGAGCGAGATGTGTGTTCTGCAGATCTACACACACAGCTCCGCAGCAGAGTTGGCCCCAGAGCCTTCAGAGCCTCCGAGTCTGAGTCAGCCTGCTGCCCCCACACGGATAGGTTGGCACGCGTCCCTACACACACACACACACACATACACGTACATGTACACACAGGCGCACACACATACACATACATACACGCACAGGCACATACACTACACACACAGGCGCACACACACACACACACACACACACACATACACATACATACACACACTCAGGCACACACACATGCTTTATATATTTATCTATTTATTACAGGGACAGTGACATTTCTGTAAATATGCCAGAATTATACAATACACACAAACGCACACAGGCCAACACACACATACACTCACATGCACACACTTACACAGTGTATGAACGCCTAGAACGCCCACTGTATTCAAGTCAGCTTCACATGACGGCCCTCAGCCCCTGGGTTCGCTGCTCTCGCTGCCTATTCTCAGTTTTCAGAGGTTGTAGAAGTCGCATGACGAGTCTGAGGTGTGTGAAGGTCACATGACGAGTCTGAGGTGTGTGAAGGTCACATGACGAGTCTGAGGTGTGTGAAGGTCACATGACGAGTCTGAGGTGTGTGAAGGTCACATGACAAGTCTGAGGTGTGTGAAGGTGTGAGTGGGACTGAGGAGAGAGACGAGGACATGTCAAAGAGAGTGGCCAAACATGGATTCATTTAGGGGTTTTCTTTTCATCCTTACTCTCTTTACTCTGTGGCTGTCAGAGCCGATCTCATCCAGGCCGATCTCATCCAGGCTGATCCTTCTCTATATGATGAACTGTGGCAGATTCACTGATGATGAGGCCTTTAGGCTGATTTATTGTATAGTTTGATTATTATGTGTGTACTGTGTGTGTTGTCTTTGAATAATTCATTTGCAAAAACAAACACAGTAAGTGCCTTTAGACAAATATTTGAAAAGCTTAGTTGCACTTTACCAAGTTGTTTTTGAAAAGCCAGGTCTATTTTAGTGCCATACAAATAAGGTTTCACACCTTCTTGGGCAAACACTTTCAAATCTAAGATTGTTGAAGACATTTTCAAAACAGAAATATGTTTTTGCAAATGAATGTTAAAGTGAACTCTTAAACAAATGTCTGTTGACTCTTTCTGTGGACTGCAGGAGCTGCTCTGGCTCGGAGCAGCTCGGAGCGGCTCAGAGCCGTCAGTGCCTTATCCATGTTTAATGATGTGCATGGAGTTATTTTAAGGCACTGATGTCAACACACACTCGCAGTGCGCAGCATCAGCTGTGGACCTGCACACGCGTGTGGCCTCATTATGTCTGTCTGTGTGTGTCATATCTAAATGCACATCCGACTCTGGGCTTCTCGTCCTTTTGCTCGTCTGTGGAATGACACGACTGTTGTATGTTCCCAGGACCTAAAGCGGGTTCTGTCGTTCCCGCCGTACCCCGGGGATTACCTGCACCCGGTGGTGTACGCCTGCACAGCTGTCATGCTGCTGTGTCTGCTCGTCTCCATCTTCACCTACATTGTGCACCATCGGTAAACACACAAACCTAACCCCACAGACACACAAACCTAACCACACAGACACACAAACCTAACCACAAAGACACACAAACCTAACCACACAGACACACAAACCTAACCCCACAGACACACAAACCTAACCACACAGACACACAAACCTAACCACAAAGACACACAAACCTAACCACACAGACACACAAACCTAACGACACAGACACACAACACAGACACACAAACCTAACCAGACAGACACACAAACCTAACCACAAAGACACACAAACCTAACCACACAGACACACAAACCTAACCACACAGACACACAAACCTAACCACAAAGACACACAAACCTGGTGTATTTGTATTTCAAAGCTAAAGGTTAAAACTGAGAATACTTTACTCACAGTTTCTCAGAATAAGGTTGTGTACTTTTAACTCTGTACAGTACTTATCAAAGGATCTAACCAGAGCTTGCGTTCTAAAACACCTGTATGTACTGTACATCTGTATACTACATCTGTGTACTACATCTGTATACGACATCTGTATACAACATCTGTGTACTACATCTATATACGACATCTGTATACGACATCTGTGTACTAAATCTGTATACGACATCTGTATACGACATCTGTGTACTACATCTGTATACGACATCTGTGTACTACATCTGTGAACTACATCTGTATACTACATCTGTGTACGACATCTGTATACTACATCTGTATACTACATCTGTATACGACATCTTTGTACTACATCTGTATACTACATCTGTATACGACATCTTTGTACTACATCTGTATATGACATCTTTGTACTACATCTGTGTACTACATCTGTATACTACATCTGTATACGACATCTTTGTACTACATCTGTATACTACATCTGTATACAACATCTTTGTACTACATCTGTATACTACATCTGTGTACTACATCTGTATACGACATCTGTATACTACATCTGTATACTACATCTGTATACGACATCTTTGTACTACATCTGTATACTACATCTGTATACGACATCTGTGTACTACATCTGTGTACTACATCTGTGTACTAAATCTGTATACGACATCTGTGTACTACATCTGTGTACTACATCTGTATACTACATCTGTATACTACATCTGTGTACGACATCTGTATACTACATCTGTATACTACATCTGTATACTACATCTGTGTACGACATCTGTATACTACATCTGTATACTACATCTGTATACGACATCTTTGTACTACATCTGTATACTACATCTGTATACTACATCTGTGTACTACATCTGTATACGACATCTGTGTACTACATCTGTATACGACATCTTTGTACTACATCTGTATACTACATCTGTATACGATATCTGTATACTACATCTGTGTACTACATCTGTATACGACATCTGTGTACTACATCTGTATACGACATCTTTATACTACATCTGTATACTACATCTGTATACTACATCTGTATACTACATCTGTATACGATATCTGTGTACTACATCTGTATATGACATATTTGTACTACATCTGTATACTACATCTGTATACTACATCTGTATACATCATCTTTGTACTACATCTGTATACTACATCTGTATACGACATCTTTGTACTACATCTGTGTACTACATCTGTATACTACATCTGTATACGACATCTTTGTACTACATCTGTATACTACATCTGTGTACTACATCTGTATACTACATCTGTATACGACATCTGTATACGACATCTGTATACTACATCTGTATACGACATCTTTGTACTACATCTGTATACTACATCTGTATACTACATCTGTATACGACATCTTTGTACTACATCTGTATACGACATCTTTGTACTACATCTGTGTACGACATCTGTATACTACATCTGTATACGACATCTTTGTACTACATCTGTATACTACATCTGTATACAACATCTTTGTACTACATCTGTATACTACATCTGTGTACTACATATGTATACTACATCTGTATACTACATCTGTATACTACATCTGTATACAACATCTCTGTACTACATCTGTATACTACATCTGTATACTACATCTGTATACAACATCTGTGTACTACATCCGTATACTACATCTGTATACTACATCTGTATACTACATCTGTATACGACATCTGTGTACTACATCTGTATACTACATCTGTATACGACATCTGTGTACTACATCTGTATACGACATCTGTGTACTACATCTGTATACTACATCTGTATACGACATCTGTATACTACATCTGTATACTACATCTGTATACGACATCTGTGTACTACATCTGTATACGACATCTTTGTACTACATCTGTATACTACATCTGTATATGACATCTGTGTACTACATCTGTATACGACATCTGTGTTCTACATCTGTGTACTACATCTGTATACGACATTTGTATACGACATCTGTGTACTACATCTGTATACTACATCTGTGTACTACATTTGTATACGACATCTGTATACGACATCTGGGTACTACATCTGTATACGACATCTTTGTACTACATCTGTATACTACATCTGTATACGATATCTGTATACTACATCTGTGTACTACATCTGTATACGACATCTGTGTACTACATCTGTATACGACATCTTTATACTACATCTGTATACTACATCTGTATACTACATCTGTATACGATATCTGTGTACTACATCTGTATACGATATCTGTGTACTACATCTGTATATGACATATTTGTACTACATCTGTATACTACATCTGTATACATCATCTTTGTACTACATCTGTATACGACATCTTTGTACTACATCTGTGTACTACATCTGTATACTACATCTGTATACGACATCTTTGTACTACATCTGTATACTACATCTGTATACGACATCTTTGTACTACATCTGTGTACTACATCTGTATACTACATCTGTATACGACATCTGTATACGACATCTGTATACTACATCTGTATACGACATCTTTGTACTACATCTGTATACTACATCTGTATACGACATCTTTGTACTACATCTGTATACGACATCTTTGTACTACATCTGTGTACGACATCTGTATACTACATCTGTATACGACATCTTTGTACTACATCTGTATACTACATCTGTATACAACATCTTTGTACTACATCTGTATACTACATCTGTGTACTACATCTGTATACTACATCTGTATACTACATCTGTATACTACATCTGTATACGACATCTTTGTACTACATCTGTATACTACATCTGTATACGATATCTGTATACTACATCTGTGTACTACATCTGTATACGACATCTGTGTACTACATCTGTATACGACATCTTTATACTACATCTGTATACTACATCTGTATACTACATCTGTATACTACATCTGTATACGATATCTGTGTACTACATCTGTATATGACATATTTGTACTACATCTGTATACTACATCTGTATACATCATCTTTGTACTACATCTGTATACTACATCTGTATACGACATCTTTGTACTACATCTGTGTACTACATCTGTATACTACATCTGTATACGACATCTTTGTACTACATCTGTATACTACATCTGTGTACTACATCTGTATACTACATCTGTATACGACATCTGTATACGACATCTGTATACTACATCTGTATACGACATCTTTGTACTACATCTGTATACTACATCTGTATACTACATCTGTATACGACATCTTTGTACTACATCTGTATACGACATCTTTGTACTACATCTGTGTACGACATCTGTATACTACATCTGTATACGACATCTTTGTACTACATCTGTATACTACATCTGTATACAACATCTTTGTACTACATCTGTATACTACATCTGTGTACTACATCTGTATACTACATCTGTATACTACATCTGTATACAACATCTCTGTACTACATCTGTATACTACATCTGTATACGACATCTGTGTACTACATCTGTGTACTACATCCGTATACTACATCTGTATACTACATCTGTATACTACATCTGTATACGACATCTGTGTACTACATCTGTATACTACATCTGTATACGACATCTGTGTACTACATCTGTATACGACATCTGTGTACTACATCTGTATACTACATCTGTATACGACATCTGTATACTACATCTGTATACTACATCTGTGTACTACATCTGTATACGACATCTTTGTACTACATCTGTATACTACATCTGTATATGACATCTGTGTACTACATCTGTATACTACATCTGTATACGACATCTGTGTTCTACATCTGTGTACTACATCTGTATACGACATTTGTATACGACATCTGTGTACTACATCTGTATACTACATCTGTGTACTACATTTGTATACGACATCTGTATACGACATCTGTGTACTACATCTGTATACGACATCTGTGTACTACATCTGTATACGACAGCTGTGTACTACATCTGTGTACTACATCTGTATACGACATCTGTATACAACATCTGTGTACTACATCTGTATACAACATCTGTGTACTACATCTGTATACGACATCTGTGTACTATATCTGTATAAGACATCTGTGTACTACATCTGTATACTACACCTGTATACAACATCTGTGTACTACATCTGTATACTACATCTGTATACTACATCTGTATACTACATCTGTATACGACATCTGTGTACTACACCTGTATACTACACCTGTATACGACATCTGTGTACTACATCTGTATACGACATCTGTGTACTACATCTGTATACGACATCTGTGTACTACATCTGTGTACTACATCTGTATACGACATCTGTATACGACATCTGTGTACTATATCTGTATACTACATCTGTGTACTACATCTGTATAAGACATCTGTGTACTACATCTGTATACGACATCTGTGTACAACATCTGTATACGACATCTGTATACGACATCTGTGTACTACATCTGTACACGACATCTGTGTACTACATCTGTGTACTACATCTGTTTACGACATCTGTATACAACATCTGTGTACTACATCTGTATACAACATCTGTGTACTACATCTGTATACGACATCTGTGTACTACATCTGTATACTACATCTGTATACTACACCTGTATACAACATCTGTGTACTACATCTGTATACTACATCTGTATACTACATCTGTATACTACATCTGTATACGACATCTGTATACAACATCTGTGTACTACACCTGTATACTACACCTGTATAACTGTTTAGTGTTGAACGCTGTCCCTCAGAGTGATCCGCATCAACAGGAACAGTTGGCACATGCTGCTCAACGTCCTCTTCCACTCGGGCCTCACCTTCGGAGTCTTCACTGTTGGAATCAATCAGATCAATCTGCCGCTGGTCTGTCAGACGGTGAGGAAACCAGACCGAGACCCAGACCGAGACCCAGACCGAGACCCAGACCGAGACCCAGACCGAGACCCTAACCCCACTGCAGACTTACATTTACTAAGACCTCATTTAAAGTCTAATATTTAGTCTAATTTCACACAATGTATAAAAAAAAGTGTAGATTTAGTCATGTTAGAAATCCTGGAAAACACCTCACGAGCCCCAGCACGTGTCCCGAACCCCACATTGGGAAGCACTGAGAGATGGATACTTTATTGATCCTCGAAGGAGAAAAATAAACACATAAGTACATAAATTACAAACATTTCTAACTAACGACCTAACAATGGTGCTGTTTTTTTTATCTAATGCACTTTAATAATGATAATGAGCAAGAAGGTCCTGGGTTCGAATCCCGGTCGGAACAGGGTCTTTCTGAATGGAGTTTGCATGTTCTCCCCGTGCCTGCGTACGTTTCCTCCAGGTGCTCCAGTTTCCCCTACCACTAAAAACATGCTCACTGGGTAAAATCCTCCAGCTCCGGTCCTGACCAAGCCGAGCATCTACATCTGGAGACGGGTTCCCGGGCGCTGTTACTATGGCGACCACTGCTCCTGACATAAACCTTAGTGGCATCAGGATCAAATGCAGAGGATTGAATTGCTCTACGGGGATTAGTAAAGTGCACCTTTACCTTTATCAGACTTACATAGTGCTTTTTTTGGACACTCAAAGATGCTTTACAAAACATGAAATAAATATAGACAGTAATAGAAGTAATTTAAAGTTCTGTAGTGAGTCGGAGTTTCTGATTGGTCGTCGGAGTGAGTTTAATCGGAGGAACATATTTTTTTTTGTGATCAATTTTTTATTATTATTTTCAAGGAGAGTGCAGGGATGAGTACAGCTCACACACACACAAAAAAAAACCATCAAAAAAAAAATAAATAAAATAAAATAAAATTACAAAACAAAAAATACAAACAAATAAAAACAAAATAAAAACAAATTTAAATAATAATTAAAAAGTAATAATAATAATAATAAAATAATAAATAATATGAAATAACCATACATTTTACAAGAAGTGTTAGAATACCACCTATTGAAGCTTTTAGTAGCTTGAATACGTACAATTTAATAGAACAGTACTGGGAAGGAGATTAAATTAGTGTGTAAACAATGACAACAGAGAGAAACAAAAGGGAGCAAGGCAAACCTCATCCCCCACCCCCTACCACCCGCCCCCTAGGACCCGAACCCTCCGCCCCCCCCAAAACCCCCCAACCACCCCGGCCCAGACCTTATGCAGTATGTTAGTCATCGATATCCAGGTAGCAATAAGTTATTCCTTCTGCCATGAGAAGCCCTACACCAATTTACTTTGCTTGGATAATGGTGGAAAGTACTTTGTCCCAGTATTGTATGTTAGTTGGTTTTGCATGATGCATTTGTGAGACCCTTTCTTGCTTCAGCCTACTCCTTTTGAGCCACTTTATAACAGTGTAACCTTGTAACAATGAAAAATATGTTTGTAAAATGCTCAAATAAATAATCAATCAATCAATCAATTGTTCTAGTTTTACAATATCAACGAAGTCTCTACGGAGGAACATATTTATAATCTCAGCTCTCGTGTGTTCAGGTGGGCATGGTCTTGCACTACGCGTCGCTGTCCACAATGCTCTGGCTGCTGTTCACGGCCCGAAACATTTACAGAGATGTCTCCAAAGACCCGCTGAAGGCCGACAGGACTGTACTGGCCAAACTCAAGTCCAAACCCTCCATACTCAGGTGAGGGGCACACAGCTTCCTGCACACATCCAGCACATGGTTTATATCTGTTTAAAGAGCGACTAAACACCTGTGCCCAGCCTTACTCCGCCCACATGAAGATTTGAAAATGTTCTCTAAAAAGGGCGTTGCCTGGAGGACCAAGGGACAAGAAGGGGGGCTTAGAGTTGGGCGTGGTCTGGGCTGTGATTGACAGCTCACTTGTCACACACAAAAAAAACAGACAGTTGTCATTGCTGCTTAAAGCAATAGTTTATAGACCAGAAAGTCTCATTCCACCCTTGTTTACACACTAAGATAATTGTAAAGCTACACACCTGAACCTAATCACACTCAATAATCTCAGAATGACTCATGTAATTTAATTTTAATCCACTAGATGGCGCCAGAATACTCCAAACTGCAGCTGGGGCGTGTGTGAGAGTTGAATGGGTTTATTTCACTGGCTCTGACAGACTGACGTCACACAAAACAACTTCAGAGTCAATGGAGAGGCCAGAACCAAATTCAAATGTAGTACCACCAAAAAGGTTGAGAGGGCACCACACAGACGTTTTTTTGGCTCAAAAGTGATATTTTATCTAATTTGAACTAAAATGTCAAAAAAATGACCAGGATATGTAGACAGCACTACAATAAACATACTTATGCAGTTTATGAGTTTAAAAAAGTTGATTTGGTGTTTAGTCGCTCTTTAAATACGAATCATGTGTGTCAGATTCTACATCGTGAGTGACGGGTTTCCTTTGCTCACGGCGGGAGTGACGGCAGCGTTTGATCTGAACAACTACGGGAGCAGAGATGGGGCTCAGTAGTAAGTGGCTCTGACTTTCTCTCTCTGCAGACACTCAAAGGTTTTGTGGAAAATATGTGGTGAATTTTGAAGAGTAATAAAAAGGCTTTCTGCCTGCAACTCCCTATGCCAGCCATTCCCAAAGTCAACAACACCGGGGCCCCCTTACAAATGTGACGGGTCTGCGCGGCCCCCTGAAATATTAACCAAGACGACAACGTTAAAAATAGGCTCTTCTCGTTATTTTATTTGGGGGATATAGCCTCTACAAACGTGTAAATGACCATCCCCACTTTGTAAAACACAAATGATTACAATTTGATGATTTAAGTCAAATAATTAACACAAATATTGTAAATTTAACATAACATTTTTTTTTTAAGACTTCTCGCGGCCCCCCTTGCAGTACCGGCCGCGGACCCCACTTTGGGAGACATTGCCCTATGCTATTCAATTCAATTCAATTCTCTTGTATAGCCCTAAATCACAACAGTAGTTTTCTCGGAGGACTTTACAAAACTGTTGAATTCGCCAACATTGGTCCAGGAGAGGCAGAGACCAATGTCCATAAATGTTGATTACCAGAGGGAGGAGAATTTCTTTGCCAAAACGTAGTTCGTGGGCACTGCTTTTGTTGAAGTGTGATGTCATAGTTGTACAATGACATCATACTATTACAAGACTGAGACAAGAGCTTTGAGACAGAAGGGGGCGGAGCTACTTCTGGTTATGTCGGTGCCAGAAGTGTCTCAAAAGAGTCCATTTAGTATAATACATTTCTTTTAAGCAGTAAAATAAACATAGCCTAGACATTTGTAGCGATACATGATTATAGTTTGATAATAATGTATTTTCTTTATCTTTGGCCAGCTGCTGGATGGCCTGGGAGCCCAGTTTGGGAGGGTTCTTCTGTCCTGTGGCCTTGATGGTCCTGATCATGTGCGTGTACTTCACGTGCACTTACATCCAGCTCAAACGTCATCCTGAGAGGAAGTACGAGCTGAGCCTGCAGAGAGACGAGCAGCAGGCCGAGTCCAAGGGGCCCATGGGGGAACCTCTGCCCTTCTCTCCGAGCTTCACCACACTGGCCAACGAGCATTCTTTTAAATCCCAGCTGAGAGCCACAGCCTTCACGCTCTTCCTCTTCCTGTCCACGTGGGCACTGGGGGCGCTGGCCGTCTCTTTGGGGCACTTCCTGGACATGATCTTCAGCTGTCTTTATGGGGCCTTCTGTGTCACTATGGGCCTCTTCCTTCTTATCCAGCACTGTGCTAAACGAGATGATGTGTGGCATCGCTGGTGGGTCTGCTGCTCCTCCAAGGACAAGGACGAGGATCAGAATGGGGCTGTTTTGGGGCCTGGGGAGGAGGTACATACACCTATCTGTCAGATCAGCTCCTCCTGCCCCGCTCCTCTCATACAGACTGTGTACTCTCCCCCCAGTCCCAAAGCCAATCACTCCCCTCAGTGCTGTGGGACTCTCCTGACCCCAGACACGCTTCAGGACGATCTGCCCAGACCCACGCTGCCCCTGCAGAGCTGCCTTATGGACCGCAACAAATCCCGCTCATTTCACCGCCCGCGGCCGTACTTACAGGATTACCGATCACACTTCAACTCTACCAGCATGGACAGCTCTCTTCTGAGCGCCCCTGACCCCACTTTGCTGCTGCAGAGACAGGATTCAGTGACTTCCTGCCATAGCCACGCCCACAACATGGCTGACAGCACAGCATCCTTTCCCAGCCATGGTCACAACATGACAGACAGCATCACGTCGTGTGCCAGCCTCCTGCTGCCCCACAGTCCGCACACCTGCCAGTGGCGCCTGTACGGCCCTCAGGAGTCCTGTCCAGAGGACATGGAGCCCTACACTAGCACAGCACAGAACTCAGACAAACAGAACCGCCTCTGTGTAGAAATGGAACAAAAACATTTCCCTAGAACAAACACACTTCCACGGCAGCATGGCACCATGGCCCGGCGAGGACCCATCGGCCGAAACCACAGTCTGCAGGAAGACGGCATTTTTGGATCAGACAACACTGGGAACATTCGCACTGGCCCATGGAAAAACGAGACGACAGTATAACTGCTCTTATCTATGCAGACAACAGAACGACTGGGCAGTTGGAGTAAATGTAACGGTTACAGATCTGATGACTTTGAACCTCTGGAGTTTTACATCAACCAAATGACAATCAGTGACAAAAACCTGAAGATGATTTTAAATCCCTTCAACTTCATTGAATTCAAAAAGCACACATTGAAGAAAAGAAATGATACAGATGTTTACTTATTATTCTCCTTTGCTCTGGTAACATCATCCACCTCGTATCTGCGGCCCAACTGAGAGGAACCATCCTGTCTCCATTTTAAAGTGTATATCTATCTTCTTCTGTGTCCACAGACAAATCATACATGGCCTTTTAAAAAAGTTATCCATGATGTATTCTTGATCTCAAACACAATGGCCATGATGGCCACATGGTTTATTTAAACATTTCTATCGAATCAGAAAGTCGTTTGGGTTGCCAGTTTCCTTTGTGAAAATCAGCTGTTTGATCACCAGCAGCACAAGATTAATCACAGACAGAGGAAGATGGCAACAGTTGTAATTGTAGTTCTAAAAGCAGTAACAAAACTTAAGTGGTTGTATGTAAAAACCACATCCAGCCATGAGGTAAATGGACCGTGAGGAAGTGAGGGCAGTGGAGAGAACGCTGTGAGTGCGCTGCAGTAGTTCATCTTTGCACTCAGAAACACACAGAAGCAGCACTTCTGCCGCTGAAAATAGTCTCAACTTTAATTAAAAGGTTCTAAGCATGTTTTTCATCTATATTTGACTTCAGATCCAAACTAAACTGTGACGTGCACAAACACAGACGTGACACTGTTCCACTGTTGTGTGATACATTTGACTTTGTGCTTCTCTGATTATATGTCACACGTGTCGCTCAGCATGTGTTCGTTTCCATGTGATGTGTGGTTACATAGTTAAGTCCTTTTTCTACACTCTCCTCAGGCTGACCATGTCCAATAATCCTCAGTGATGGAGCACGACACCTCCCTGTTTAACTGAAGCCAAAATCCCCAAACTCAGGTTCAAGGCACAGGTGTGTGAAGAAGCCATTTTATTGTATTGTTTTGTGCCATAGTGTGGAATGCACACAAAAACAATGTAAATAGATTAGATATGTTATATGCAACATTAAGGTTTTTCCTCGGATTATGAATCTCACCACACGAAAATTGCACCAAGAATAGACATTTAATCTTGAGGAAATTTAAAATAAAAATAGAATCGAGAACAACAGGCTGAATGGTGTAGGTTGTCTGAGGCAAAGAACATGCAACAGGTTTACCAAAGAATCAGCTCAACTGAAAAGCCCGGGCTATTATTTGATATTTTACACAATATGAGTCGCACCCCCGGACAAACTATGACTAAAACTGTGATTTATAATCCGAAAAATATGGTAATCCTGAAACTGACATAATATAAAATGTATATGTTTTATATGATCAACACCTTTTATATCAATAAATGCTCACTGTGACCATCTTGAGTTTTGTGCTGCTTTAAAAGAGAAGCGTTATACCTCACTATGACTATGTTCGTTTTAATCTGTTTGTGGGGAAGAAGATGTAAAGACAGCAATGAAACACTGCACTGGTCTAAACGTTAGTCTATGGTCTTATCCCAAACAACTGCAGTCACAAGAATCAGACCAACGTCCCTGATGTGACCCATTTAAAGTCAGAGGCCTCTGCACTGAGTCTGCACCGAGCCTGAGTCTGCCCTGGGCCTGAGTCTGCACCGAGCCTGAGTCTACCCTGGGTCTTAGTCTGCCCTGGGCCTGAGTCTGCACCGAGCCTGAGTCTGCCCTGGGCCTGAGTCTGCACCGAGCCTGAGTCTACCCTGGGTCTTAGTCTGCCCTGGGCCTGAGTCTGCACCGAGCCTGAGTCTGCCCTGGGCCTGAGTCTGCACCGAGCCTGAGTCTGCCCTGGGCCTGAGTCTGCACCGAGCCTGAGTCTGCCCTGGGCCTGAGTCTGCACCGAGCCTGAGTCTGCCCTGGGCCTGAGTCTGCACCGAGCCTGAGTCTACCCTGGGTCTGGGTCTGCCCTGGGCCTGAGTCTGCCCTGAGTCTGGGTCTTAGTCTGCCCTGGGCCTGAGTCTGCCCTGAGTCTGGGTCTGAGTCTGCCCTGGGCCTGAGTCTGCCCTGAGTCTGGGTCTGAGTCTGCCCTGGGCCTGAGTCTGCCCTGAGTCTTAGTTTAGTTTAGTTTTTTTATTTTGAAACATGTGTGCATACTTCCTACATAAGCCGCAAAACAAAACCAAAAATGTCTAATCCATTCACATGTTCAGAAGGGAGTAGGAAGAAGCAAAAGCTTATATGGTCCTACCCCTCATTTACAAAATACGTTATTTATGTGGAAACAAGGGAGATGGTGCAAAATGTACAAGTTTACAAACAAACAATAACATATATTTCTCTGAAAAAGGTAAATACAAGATTAAATGTGTGTATGTAGTTTAACGCATACACACACACATATCTATACACATATACACACATACTCATACGTACATACACACACCATTATACTCTTCATGTGTTCGGTCATTGAGCCTACTGGGCGAAACTTCATTCTTCTTTACTATATTCCTCAATTAGTTGTTTTTTATGTAAACTTTTGAAGTGCAGAATGGTGCTGCTTTGTTTTAATTCCTCTGACAGACTGTTCCATAGTTTAACGCCACCAATAGAAACATTGAAACCTTTCATAGTTGTTCTTGCATATTTTACTTTAAAGTTTAGCTTTCCTCTTAGATTGTATTTCCCTTCCCTCTGGGCCCGAGCCTGCCCTGGGCCTGAGCCGGCCCTGAGTCTGGGTCTGTCCTGGGCCTGAGCCTGCCCTGGGACTGAGTCTGCCCTGAGTCTGGGTCTGTCCTGGGCCTGAGCCTGCCCTGGGACTGAGTCTGCCCTGAGTCTGGGCCCGAGCCTGCCCTGGGCCTGAGTCTGGGCCCGAGCCTGTCCTGGGCCTGAGCCTGCCCTGGGACTGAGTCTGCCCTGAGTCTGGGTCTGTCCTGGGCCTGAGCCTGCCCTGGGACTGAGTCTGCCCTGAGTCTGGGCCCGAGCCTGCCCTGGGCCTGAGTCTGGGCCCGAGCCTGCCCTGGGCCTGAGCCTGCCCTGGGACTGAGTCTGCCCTAAGTCTGGGCCCGAGCCTGCCCTGGGCCTGAGTCTGGGCCCGAGCCTGGGCCCGAGCCTGCCCTGGGCCTGAGTCTGGGCCTGAGTCTGGGCCCGAGCCTGCCCTGGGCCTGAGCCTGGGTCTGCCCTGGGCCTGAGCCTGCCCTGGGACTGAGTCTGGGTCTGCCCTGGGCCTGATCCTGCCCTGGGACTGAGTCTGCCCTAAGTCTGGGCCCGAGCCTGGCCTGAGACTGAGTCTGCCCTGGGCCTGTGCTGAGCCTGACCCTGCCCTGGACCACAGCACAGACCCTCACCCAGCCCTGTGTGCCCCTGAATTACATTTTAGAGCTAACAGTAGTAGCACTGCCCTCTGGTGGCATCACAAAACCAACTTCTACTTGACCTTTGACTTACAGCACACACGGTCATGCACAATGTCAGTCACTACAAAAAGGTAGTATTTAAACCAAGAAATCCACAACATTTCCACATTTAATGTACTTGTATAATCAATATGATAGGGACAGAGCACATTCATGATTATGTAGATACTGTAAAGGACTAAAGCATTTGTGGTTCATTCATATAAGCAGTTAATGATCTGTTTAACTTCGGGACAAATCTCACCCCATTAAGTCCAAACTCACAAATATAGTCGACAAATGTTAAATGTGCCTTTCCCTGGGTCCGTTTTTTCTATTTCAGATTTTACTGAAAGATGTGAGTGATTTTCCAGGCTAAAGCAGGGCAGGGCCTGGTTAGTACTGTGATGGGAGACCTTTATGAACACCAGGTGCCACAGTGCTGTATAGTGCTGGTGCCGTTGTGTCCTTGGGCAAAGACACTTCACCCACATTGTCTAGAACGAGTCTGGAGTGTGCGAGTGTGCGGTCAGACGGCTCAGATTGGCAGCATTGAGTCGGTCAGTCTGCACCGGGGCAACTACGGCCACAGGAGGCGTTAACATCTGTCGTTTACATCAAGAAAAAGGACAAAATGTTTTCAAATGTCTGTACATTTATTAAAAGAAGAGAATAAGGTTAAACAAATACAGAATGCATGTGGAGCAGCGCAGGGGACGCAGAGGCACTTGGAGAGGACAGAGGAACCGGCACAAAGGAGGACAAGCTACGCCTCGGAGAAGACGGGTCTATTCAGAGACAGCTTAGACTTATTTAGCATTAAACTTTGTATCGGGCCAAATGTGCGTGTACAGAAGAAACCGGAAGTTCATCTACTCTGTGTTGAAAGAGAATTCTGAATTCAACTTGCTTGTATAAAGTAATATATATATATAACTGTTAGAACCAAGAATGACCCATGTGTAAATCATGTTGGGGTCAATAATGATAACGGACCTTTAAGCTTCCGGTTTGTTCTGTACTTTTGCACGATTGGCCTTTGAAAATCCAACATTAGATTTGAGGAGTAGATAAACATAAATAATGAGATCTTATGAATAAAAAACGTATCAAATGACATAAATAATTAGTTTTTTCTGCTTGTTTCAGATTAGACTTGCCAGTACCAATCATTTTGAAAACTTTTGCCTTTAAGATATCATGGATTTGCTTAAACCTTTGAGGTGATAAGCGTTTGAGGGACAGCGACCTGAAGTTCAGTAGTATGTCGGAAGAGTAACACGCAGACAGTGATTTTGTTTTAGTTTTGTTTAACATTAAAAGCAGTGGGATTGGAACAGGGAGAACACAGCACGCTGGTTACACTCAGAGAATTCCCCACTATTTGGACTCGCACTAGATGCACAAATAGGCATCTCACCGTCACTTAACGAAACTATATTAAGACCTTTTGAAACTAGAGGACGGAAAGACGGCCGAACCATTAGGCCGGCTGGACTCTGTTTTTGGGGGTCAGAACCAAAACAAGAAGTGTCCAAGAGCTGAGGCTTTGAGGACAGTTATGAATCAATGAAATAAAAGTAGACAATGTGGTTAACAAGGCATCAACTACAAAAGGCCAAACTAAGCAGAGGTGAGTCAGACGCACAGAGAGCATTGGGACACGTTCACACCAGCACCTTCATGTTAAATAAACAGGTCATTATGAGAACAAAGCTTGCTGCCACAAACAAAATGCTATATAATGGTACATTTACTGAACAGATACAGAGCATAACAGCAAGCAGATTTTACAGTTGCCATAAAAAAGTAAAATAGTGTGAGTGAATAAATAACAGATAAATGAAGCTGTACCCTGCAATCAGCATGTGTGGTCCTTTGAGCCACTTGAGAGGCAGGATGTGGGAATGTAAATTAGACCGGACCCTAAGTCGTAGAGCCGGGTATAAAAAGTAGACCAGAACTAGGAGTTACCTGAGCAGTGGATTGATGTGCATATTTACCGTGGTCCCCCTTTAACACCGCTTGTAGAAGAAGGGATATTTCAGAGTTAAATCAGTCCTGTGCATGCAAGCAACATCCACTCTTTCAATTTGCATTATAATTTACTGGAATATGCACTACTCAAGGATAATATTAAAATAAAATCAATATATACAGTACAGAATATTTGTGGATTTAAAAACAGGTCCGTAAAGTGTTCTGTTTACTCTAGTGTGTGCCAGTCTCGTGTGGATTCCAACAGATGGCGTTGGCCGTGGCCGATCCAGGCTTCCTGACTGTTAAAGTGGCGGCCACAGAACCAACAGGTAAACTCTACAGACGGCTGCGTGTCCGGAACAGTCCGCACAAGCTGATACTTCTTTCTGCTTTTCCTCTTCAACTTTAGCCTCAGCAGATATCTCTCACAGACCGAGCTCTGTGCTGTGCGTGGTTGAGATGATAGATCTTTGGTTGAGGATTTACTGGCTGCATGATCAGAGAGCGCTTGGATTGTCTTTTGGGAGAGGCTCACTTTAGTGACCGCTCCTTGGTGCCTCTGAACCACTTGCATGAGGCTGGCCACCTCAGGAATGTCCACATCCGGATGATTGAGCACCACGACAGGCTGGCATCTTCGAGGCCATTTAATCTGCTGATCCGAACTCAGAGGACAAAGTCTCAGAGTCCTTTCTTTGTCTTTGGCTACAGGGCTCCACAGAACAACAGGCTCCTTCTCCGGCAAAGCCTTATTGGAAAGCTTTCGGACCTTATGGCTCGTCGCTGGCAGTTCGTCGAACAGCAGTTTCCGGCGTCTCTTTCGTTGACTCGGAGGTCGAATGGGACGAGGGGCTCGTATATGTTTATCAGCTTCACTTTGATGGACCTTCACTGCAGACTGTAGAACACTGTTCTGTGTGACAATGTTCTGTGAGTTTTGGACTGCAATGAACTTCTTTATCCCAGTAGTGGGATTGTTAGAGGACAACAGAAAGCACTGCGTCTGAGGTCGTGTGGCCAAAAGCACAGGGTGAGGAGAGGCATTGGAAAGACGACTGTTTTGAGGACTTACAATCTTAAAAAATAATTTGTTCTTTGAATTGTCATTTGGTTGGCTCCCTGAGCCAGAGGGCTGTGTCCTCTTTGCTTCCTCATTGTACCCCGACACACCTGATTGGGAAGGAGAGACGTATCGAAGCAAGAACGCCTGCCGACCGCTCTGACCATTCCCAGTGGTTTCTGTTGAACTTCCCGGCATGGCCACAAGTGGCCGTGAGTTCAGAGAGAGCTGTGTACTAGCAAGTCTCAGGCCTGAAGCAGAGGAGGTCTGAGCTCCAGGTGACCTTTGGAGCAGATAGCAAGTCTTTGTGGTTTTGTCTGCAGGTGTGCCATTTAAAGTCCGAGGAAGGAGTAACGGGCGGTTCAAATCTGATGTTATTAGGTAGTGGTTTGAGGAGCTTGTAATGTTTTGTTTGGATGCTGTTAGTGCTGTATTCTTCCCTGCAGGGACACCCATTACCTGGTTTTTTGAGATTAGCTTGATCCCAGAGCTGGATGATTTCTCACTCGCTGGTGTCATGTAAGAGATATTGATTTGAGGATTTGATGAATTTGTGATCAGTTTAAATCCAGGTGAGCCTTTGACTTGCATTGGCACCGGGAGACAACTTTGGAGGATTCTTAATGTTGTTTTGTTTTGCTTCGTTGCGTCAGTTTTTCCTGAACAAACAGTAGATTCAGGGTTTCCTTTATTTAGTTGCTGGGATAAAATATCAACATTTTCCTTCACTACTGCGTCTCCTGCTGGACTGTGATGGTTTGATGGTGGCTTACATATGGGAATGTTGTCTTCTTCAATTTTAATAATGTTAAAGTCTTGCAGCACAGACTCTGGGTTTTCCTCCAGTTCTAAATCAGCTATGCATCCATCTATTCCCACAAAACTACTGCTCTCCGTGTTCTTTTGCCCACACCTACTTACATCGTCCACTCTGACCGCCTCAACATCTGGACTCAACCTTAACCTTAGCTCTGGAGACTCTTTTCCTTCAGCCTCAATCTCGAGTGAACTGCTGTGAGGATCAGGAGAGGATCCTGTGGTGTCCTTTGAGTAATTATGAAAAGTAAAGACCTCTGGAGTTGGAAGAACACAATGATTGTCTGTTGCTACTGTAGGTGACAGTGCTTCCTCAGACTCACAATTCTCAGCATGAGAAATATTTGAGGGTGAAGTCGAGGACTCAGAGTTTGTAGCGTTGCTAAGGAGCTGAGCAGTGAGAGAGTTTCTGTCTTTAGATGTTTTTTTACAGTCAGAAACCCGTCTATCACAATCAGTGTGTTTCGTTACATGATTGTCCTCTAGTCTGGAACTACCGCATAGATGATTAGTAGCATGTGTGTCATTTGAACTTAAATCTAAATTAGAAACGAAGGATTCTTCCTCTTCTACTTTCACCTTCACAGTCATGATATCATCAGCCTGCAGACTGTCCAGTGTTGGATTTCTACCATTAGGAAACTCTCTGAGATCGAGCTGAGAAACGCCATCTGAAGTGGTTGAAGCTTGAATTACTTTAAGAACTAAATGCTTCTTACCATCTACCATTTTGAAACCAATAACTTTGGTGGTGCAGTTTGGAGGAAGAGACAGTTTGTTTTTTACTCTAACAACAGTCATACCATTGGGACTGGTTTGACCAGAGTCAGAACCCGGAGAGGGATCTCCCTCCTGTAACATGTCCTCTACTGATGCATCTACTTTATTGTTATTGCTCCCATTTCTATTGTCCCTTTTTGTCAGTGTGTCTTGGACTTCATCAGAAGTCGCAATTGACAGTAACTGGTCATTTGTAATAGGTTTAATCCCAGAAACTATATTCACTTTAGATATTGGATGTTCTTCCTTTGAGTCTTCAGACTGAGGTGAGGTCTTTTTCAGCATCACTTTGAGACTTGCAGTAGAATTGAGGAGAGCCTCGTTGTCTTCTAAAGTAGCCCAGACCATTTTATTCTCTGCTTTGTGAACAGCTGCTATGTGCTTCTTGAGGTAATCATTTCTTGCTGCTCCATAGCCACACACCTCACAGGTGAATGGAAACGTACCAGAGTGCCCCTTCAAATGCTTTTGGTGCTCCACTTCACTTGTGCTCATATGAGAACACTTTGAACACCTCCAAGAAGTCTCTTTGTGGTGATGGATGTGCTGCACAAATGTTCCTGCATCTACAGTGGAGAAGTGGCACCAGTCGCACGTGAAGTGTCCATTTATGCTGTGGCACATGGTGTAGTGTCTGGTCAGGAGCAGCAGAGAGTACTGAACATCGTCCTGGCAGAGCTCGCAGGTCACCAGCGTGTTCCTGTGTTCAATCCGGTGGCGCTGCAGGACAGAGAACTCATTGGTGACAAACCCGCACAGGTCACATGGGTAAGTGGGAAGGGCCCCCCTGTGGGCTAATCGGAAATGTTTCAGCAAGTCGTTGGGGCTGTAAGTAAAACAATCTTTACAAATAGAGCATCCGAAACTGAGGATCTTCCCGGAGAAGAACGCGCCTTGCTGAACTCTATGGCCTCTGTTCCGCACTGGTCGGTTGTTTCGGGCACTCCCTTGTTCCATCAGAACAGGTTGATCCGTGACTTCTTTGAAATGCTTGTAGACAAAGTCTTTCACCTTTTCCCGCTCTTCATCTTTTGCAAGAATCCCATAGTTTTTCAAAGTATCTTGAGTCGTCGTGTGGTCCTCCATACTATTAGGTCCACCAAAACCTGGAAAGATATTAGACAATGTCAACATAATTACAATACAACGGCAGGAAAAAGATAAAATTAGGAGAGATATATTGCACTCGTAACTCTTAGTTGATTATTGATCTTATGTTTTGATTTTCACCAAACAGTGGGAGAGAAAAAAGTATTTGGCAAAAGAAATAAATAATCATTTTAAGGTACACTGTGCACCAAAGGGTTTGGTCACAAGAAAAAAATCCTAGTAAATGGTTATTATTTCACCAGAAGGAGAATAAGATTAGTTAAGATATCTGCGCTGAGATATCTCCAGGGGACACCAGAAACACTACCGCCTTAATAGATAGTAATCATGTACAAGTCTATAACAGCCATAGTTAGACCCAGTGTAACAGCAGGAAGTCTGGAGATTTTGATTGTGTCCCTACCCGATTACCAATAACCCAACATTAGTCCGAACAATGTCCAAATAATAACGGTTTAAACAAATGTATGAAAAAAAGTTATTACTCTCTTAAGTACCAAATTAAAGGTTTATAAGTTCAAGGCAACTCAAAGTGCGTGGTTCATATGGCACTAACATATCGCAGACGTACTTCTGGTCTAATCTCTGAACCACAGGAAGCCAGCGCGGAGACCTGAGAACTGGACCGATGTGATCGTACTTCCTGGTTTTAGTCCGGACTCGAGCTGCAGCGTTCTGAATTTACAGCAGTTGTTTTTCACCCAGAGAGAAGGCCGATACAGTCGTCTAACCTACTGAACACTAATATATGACTAAGAATCTGCTTTAGATGCTAGATCTTGATTCAGGCAATGTTTCCGTTATTACCTTCAACAAGACAGTTTTAGCGAAAGAGAGACTGGAGGTGACAGATAAAACTCTGTTTCTGGGGTCCAAAAACAATCATTTCAGTTTAGCTGGATGAAGCTGTTTTGCATCCACTCACTGATCTGCTGGATGCAATGAAGGAGTGAGTCCATGTTCTCCTGCAGTCAGAGACATAGATCCGAGTGTCGACTGCGTAGTTAACAGCAGCATGTAGAGACTGAACAGAAGGGGTCCCAGGAACATCCCCTGTGGCACTCCAAAGTCACATATGATCTGTGACCGTTTCCCAAGTCTTCTAGATAAGACTTAAACCAACTTAGGTTTAGCACTAACATGTCACAGATGTACTTTGGTGCGAGGCCATGAAAAGATTTGTAACAAACAGAGCTGCTTTAAAGTGACCTGAGAACTGTACTAATGTGATCATACTTCCTAGTTCTTGTCAAGACTCAAAGACGCAGCGTTCTGAATATACATATAATACACTATGTACACTATCATATTTACTCTGCTGCCGCTGCTTTGCCATAACAGTAGTCTAACCTGAATTAAAAGCATTTTTTTTTTCTTGTATTGGCAATGTTTTTTAGATGGTTAAAAAGCTGTTGATAATAGTATGGCTTTAAGTTAGTTTACTAGTTTATCCATAAATGTTCTACCTACATCTTTAAGTAAAATTAAAATAAGTAAAAGGATCATGCACTGTTGCTTAGACAACTCTGATCCACTCGGAGAACACACTTTCAGGTGGTGATCTACAGCTTTTCTCTATTATTGTGTGAAAGTCCTGGTTCCGTGCTCACAGCCAAAGTATTATGACACTTATTGATATTGTCTATTTACTTAGAGATGTCCACAGCAGTAAGCACTGTTGATCTTTGGAGTTTTAAAGGTGTCTGATCTCTTCAGTTTAATGTAGTTAAATATGCACAATTGTTGTTATGCAATGATTATCCTGGACTAGTGAATGTATTTATGTGTATTTTCACTACAATGGAACCAAAAAAAAAACATTTTAGATTAAGGAATACAGTGTTTCCCACAGGTTTGAAGGCAATGTGTGGTGGTCGTCGGCGGGGGGGGGGGGGGTGGGGGGGGGGGTCGGCCGGCAAAAATTAACAATGACATCGTTAATTGGTCAAATACAGCTTTATTGGACTGATCAAAATATCAAACATTATTCACACGCTGTATATTACACTATAAATACTGTTAACGTTGTATAAACCTACTTGTTGCAAAAAATAACATTATTCACACGCTGTATAAACACTATATTACACTATAAATACTGTTAACGCTGTATAAACCTACTTGTTGCAAAGTTTGCATGTTTTATCAGAGCACCTGATTTTAACTTTATAAAGAAAGCGTCATCGCTTGTTAAGGGAGTCGGGACGGAAATTCGACATTGACACTGAACATTCAGCACTTTTTAATGTGTGATTTACGAGATCACGGGATACCAACCTTTAGTGAACTTCACCAGCCGTCTTCTCTGCACCAAAATTAATAGACACAGCTGCTTACAGCGATGATCGCTGATGGAGACGGAGACACGCGGTGTGCACGAAGGGGAGGGGCTGTGTGTGTGTAGGACTCTGTATGTGGGAGAGACGCGTAGCTTGAGTGAGAGTTACGAAGGGCCGCCACATTTTAAACCCCCCTCCCCGCTGTCAAATTGACCGCTGCGGCGGCACTAGACGATGCATGTTTTAAATAGCGTAACAAAAAATATATATATATAACAATACGAAACGCAATTTGTGGCGGGCGGTCTCTAATCTGTGGCGGTGCGCCACAGATTAGTCTATGTGTGGGAAACACTGGAATATAGGCAACATACAACCGTTTTAGCAGCACCAGGCAAACTGAAATAAGTTTTAGAAGTACTTACCTGTATTTCAGATAGATCTCAGATGTTCTTCAAACGCTGGCACCTGTGAACAGGGACAACAGTTTAAAGAACATTTAAAAAGCTCTTTCTGAAAAGGTGGAGCAACAATACACCATGAGCTCATGTCCATACTGTATACTAGTCCTATGAATCTGTAACAATATGGTACTAATAAGTATGTTTGGGTGAAGGCCTGAACAGCCTAAAAAAATAGATTGAGGAGGTTTACATTTTGTGCAAAAATCTGAAAGATGAAAAGTACATTTTTCTCGATCTGGATGATTGAAGACTTGCATCCTTCTGAGCCGGGGACAGAAACGTTTGCAGTTTAATTTAATTAAGTGTTTTTCTCCTGCCTAAAGAGTAAATATCAATTTCAACAAGAAGATAAATATAAAGAAAAGGATTTGTGAAAGTTTGCAAACTGTAAACTGTACTGAGTGAATGAATAATGCCTCCAACAAAGCTCTACATAAAACTGATAATTATCATTGCTAGTTTTATAAAAATCTATTACTATTGTCATTATTACTTTGTAATAATAATACTAATAATAATAATAATAAATTAATAGTAACCCTAATTAAGATAAAAACCATTATTTTACACAAAAACCCTGTATATTTTACTAAAACATAGTGAATTTATGCCTGTTTTATGGAAAGTCAAAAGATAACTCAATAGATCACTTGATTACATAAATAATTGATAGCTGAAGCCATTATAGCACAATTACATTTTTTACTGCTCATTCATAGTGGCCATGGATAGAACAGAGTAAAACTTCATAGATTCACATTTCACACTGCTATATTCAGTCCAGTATGTTTCTGTCTTCTCAGGTCATAGTGGGAACACATTCATAACTCAGAGTCCAAAAGAGTACTCTGTAGATTCTGTGAGAAACTACACTATAGCAGTAACTGTGGATCAAGCTTTTGGAAATGTGTTTGATCGAATCTCTTCTGTCTCTGCTGTCATCCTGAGCCCAGAGCAGCGGCAGCCATATTGGACAGAAAAAATGGCTGCCATGATTTACAAGCAGCACCACTTCAAGCATTATGATCCACAAACACATTTACACTGTCAACTACTTAAATATATAGATTGGCATGTTTTATCCTTCTCACCATGACCTTATCAATCAAATACATAATAACAACACATGAATTATGACTGATTAACCCCACAAGCACTGCCAACTCTGAACACAGGTAGGATTTACTGGGACAGCCCAGATGGGGACAGGGACAGTCCGGACCTAAACAACACTTGGGACAGACCTAAGTGCACTACAGGTGACGGGGCTCCGCAGATGCACACATAAACTTATATCTGTACTGAGGTGTAGATGCAGTTTGAGAGCACTTTCTGTACACTTCTGTATAGTTTGTTGAGTTTGAGGTTAGTGACAGACATTACATGATGGATATTACACAGAACCAGCCACGGACCGAATGCGGAAGTGCAGATCCTGAAGGAGCGACATGCTTTTATAACATGATAGTTTTAGTTAGTTATTGCACACTAACACCCCCGCCCACACCAACATGTTTAAAGTTATGGAACAACAAGTAAATCTTACGAAGAACTCGATGTAGGTGTCGCTGGTGCGGCGCTGTCGTCCTACATTGTAAAAACAATGTTGATCTCGGAAGAAGCTCCAGCTGAGACATTCGCCTTGTGCCTCTCTCTGTGGAACCACAGCGACGGCGGCCATGACACATCATCCGGGTCCTTTCTGCTCCACTCAGCACCGGCGGAGGGATATGCAGCTGTTCTCCTATCCACAACTAGTCCCAGGATTAAAACTACTGTGACCAATATCTACTTCATTAAACAGCGAGGCACAGTGTGTGAACGACACAGTGTTAGTTCATATGTCGTCCTGTGCACTAGGGTGTCAGAGAGTTATACATGTGTGTGTTTGAGCGTAGGTGGAACAAGCTTGAGCTGCCATGGCGGATGTGCGCCATTTGCTCTCGATGGTGTTTTGCGGATGAAGTGTTGGCTTTTGTTGTTGTCTTCGTGTGTTGAAACCCTGCGTTTGTGGTTCCAGTGCCGGGCACATCAGTGTCAGACTTTAAGCAGATAACACTCTTTACATGTCATGTGCATGGTGCTGATTAGACCAAGCATTTCTCTGATTCACACTTTATTTTCGTCTGATTAACATTTACACGTCATATTATGAAAGCAGTCCTGATTTCAAATGCATATGGCCAATTCCAACATAAAAAACAGCCTGGATGGGGGCTAAACCTTTAACAGC